TTTTTCGCTTCCTCGAATCGCAACACCCTCAGGGCATCCGAAAAAACTTGAACTTTTTTTTGTTTTTATGAGATGATGAGTTTCGAAAAAAAAATTAATCTTCATTGAGTAATCAGCAACAGACAAGTCGGTCAACAAGAACGTGAACAGTGTGTCACGATTTATGACATTTTTGATGAATTGGCGCTTGGAATTGCAAGAATTTTGTTTACAAAACATAAAACGGTAAGAACTTCCTTTACAAAACATAAAATGGCAAATACATTCTTTACTGAACATAAGAGACAGAACTGTTACGCTACCGTATTTTACCCTCTCCTAAATTATAATATTCTACCTTACCCTACCGTACCTGGCTCTATCACACTCAGCCCTACCCTACCTTACCTTACTCTACCCTGATCTGTCCTGTATTTCCTTAACCTACCCTATCCTAATTAACGAAACTCTTATTACGATATCTTGTCTTGCCTTGCCCTACCTTGCCCTGTTCTGTCGTACTCAGCCGTGCTCTGACCTCGCCAGCCTCGCCCTGCCTTGATCTCCCCAGGTATTTTTTGCCTTACCCTGCCGTACTGTACCCTACCATACATACGCATAGCCTACCCTCCCTATACCGTACTTCTGCCTGTTCAGCCCTACCCTACAATCCCATTCAACCTTAACATACCCCAGTCAATCCTATCCTACCCTATTCTACTCTACCTTACTTTACTGTACCCTACCTGCCCTACCCTATTCTACCCTATCCTACCCTACCCTACCTCTGTCCTATGCTATCCTACCTTACTCTACCTCTCAATGCCATCTGCTTTCCTTCTCACATCCCCTCGCCTCTCCTACTCCTCCCAAAGTGCAAACTAACTACCGTATCCTCATCTTCTTAAAAGTTAAAAAGTAAAAGAGTAAGGCTTCAGACTGTAAAGTTTTCGAAACCTGACACAACATAATTCTTTTGAATTTTAAAGTACACAACTGACACGACTTTTTACAACAACAGTAACACGATATTTTCGGCTTCTTACACTGTAAAAGGTTATATGTTTCTATAGTATTTGGTGTCATTTTTTCTTTAAGATTTGTTTAAAAAAAGCTTTTTTAAAGTAAGAATGAATACGGTAGAAATTTTATAAAAACTGGTATTTAGATGATATTTACATAGTAATAAATAATAATATAGAAAAAAGACGTACTGAACCCACAAAAATAAATTAAATTTATTAACTTTTGTTTACTGATAAAAATATTTTTTTTATAAAAAGAGCAAGAAATTTCTATACAAAACATGAAATTGCAAGAACTTTCTTTACAAAACATGACATTACAAGAACTTTCTTTACAAAACGTAAAATGGTAAGAACTTTCTTTACAAAACATAAAATGGCAAGAACTTAACAAAACCAAAAAATGACAAAAACTTTTTTTACACAACGTATTATGACATTTATCGTATAACTTGTCACCCGTAGGCTGCAAAATACAAACTTTGAATTTTGAAGAAGAAAAAGCAAAAACTGTCTTTACAAAACAAAAAATGGCAAGAACGTTCGTTACAACCCTTGAAACGGCAAAAACTTTACAATGTAAAAAATGGCCAAAACCTATCGTACAACTTGTCACCTACAAGCTGTAAAATACAAAATTAGCCTTTTTATGACAAAATGGCAAGAACTTTCTTTACAAAATCTAAGATGACAAGAACTTTCTTTACAAAACATAAAATAGCAAAAACTTTCTTTACAAAACCTAAAGTCGCAAAAAATTTTGTCTCATAACTTTGATACCTGAATTTAATCAACCCCAACAGAAGTACTCAAGCCTCTGTAAAAAAATTTTTGTACTATCGACAATTTTTTAATTTATGACCAACACTACAGTAAATTTTAACTTCCTTTATACCAGAACTCCTCTATAACAAAAATTTTTCAAATCTCCGAGCAAATCTTTACACAGGGGCTCCACTGTAAATCGATAGCCTCAAAACTTTCAAAAAGTTTCAAAAAGTCCAATTTTGATCAAAAAATTTTTCAAAGCCAACTCAAAATACAATAGGCTGTCCTAAAACAAAAAAAAGTAGAAGAGTTACCTTTTTTAATGCCATTCTTTTAATGACCCTCAAAACATCACCGCTTTTTGGCCGAATTTCGCAGCCTATTGAAATCGGCTACCGTATTCAATAGAAAAAGAAAGAATTTACCGCATTTCACAGACTTTTTTCACTTCAAACTTTTGAATTAAAATCAGTGGATCGAATGAGTAACCATTAAGAAGTAATATGAAACAAAGGGAAGCACTCAATACAGTTGAAATCTTGTATAATGAACAGCCGGAGGAGTTACAATTTTCTGTTATAGAAGGGTATTGATCAGGGCCGGGCGCGAAAAAAGGACAAAAATCATTTTAAAAAATCATTTTGGATTTTATTTTGTGTTACCTAATGTAAGCTATTGCCGCCTTGATCGTTGTAAAGAAAGTTCTTGCAATTTTACGTTTTGTAAAGAAAGTTTTTGCAATTTTATGTTTTGTAAAGAAAGTTCTTGCAATTTTACGTTTTGTAAAGAAAGTTTTTGCAATTTTATGTTTTGTAAACAAAGTTCTTGCCATTTTATGTTTTGTAAAGAAAGTTTTTGCCATTTTATGTTTTGTAAACAATGTTCTTGCTATTTATTCCTAAAAAGCCTGATTTTGTACTTTGCAACCAGCGAGTGACTAGTTATACGACAAATGTAAAAATATGTTCTGTAAAAAAAAGTTTTTGCCATTTTATGGTTCGTAAAAAAAAGTTCTTGCCATTTAGAGTTTTGTAAAGAAAGGTCTTGCCAGTTTTTGCTTTGTAAACAAAGTTCTTGCCATTTATTATGATCGTTTTAAAAATTCTTTCTTTCGCCCCGTCCCCATGCCATGATTACAACCTTTTAAAAACAAGACCTATAACCTTAATATTATTCATTATATGAAAGCCAACAGTGAAATTGTACCAAAATGTGCTTTACTTTTGACAAGAGAACATTTCAATTATCGTGTCACGCAATTCTCCAAACCGTAACTACGAATTCTTGTCTGGAGCACGATTCATACAAAATATAGTGTATCTGATACATGGAAAATTTATTTGACCTTACCTTACCCTACAATACCCTAATTTACGTTACCCTACTATATTATCCTAACGTACTTTACAGAACCCTACTCTATTCTCCCTTACTCTACTTCACTCTATCCTGCTCTACCCTATCTTACACAACCTTACCGTACCCTAACTCAAGTTACAGTAAGAAAAAGTAAAAGTAGTAAAAAAGTTCGGTATCTCAAAAAACTCGGTTACCTGTTGAAACTCAACTACGAACATAGTAAACACACATGAACATATTATTCCGTTGAAGCGCTCCAAAAAACGTACTACTAGAGTAAATGTTGTAAACCAGGTCAAGTAAAATGCCGTGTTTACATTGAGGTTCAATGTATGCTCTCTTAAACTTGTAATCTAACTTACTTTAGTTTGCTGGAGTAGATTGTTTCAAATCAGTGTGGACTTTATTGGCTTCAGCTGGGCTTGGATTGGCTTTGCTGGTCTAGGTTGAGCTGGGCTGCGATCGGTTGAGATTGGATTGGCTTGGGTTGGCATGGCTTGGCTGGACTTGGCTTTGCTCGGCTGGGACTTTAACTGGGCTGGTAACCATATCAAAAGTTGATTAAAAAAATCAAGTTTTCTCTTCGCAAATTTCGAAAATTGTTTCGTTTCCATGTCGCGCGCCCGAACGAAGTGTCAAAATTTATTTACTCGGCCGTTTTTCTGGTTTTCAGGTTTTTCTTTCTTACAAGTTAGGAAATAAGCCTTGCAAAGAAATTTGCTATCAATATAAAACTTTTTTGATTTAACACTTTATATTGATGTTAAATTGACTTATTTTTAAGTTATTTTACTGAAAATTTATATTTATTTTGATAAATTTGCTTGGTTATGTTAGACTAGGTTAATTAAACGGTTAATATTGCTCATATTTTAATGGACATTGTAGGTTATAGTCTGAAATTTTGAGACAACATTCTATGTTAAATAAGCTTTATTTAAAGTGTAAATTTGCTATGTTTTGTATTGGCACTTTTTTGTTATTTGATTTTCATTCTTTTGCGGCTATTTTACGTCATGGATAATGTACTTTTTGTTTATATTGATGTTATTACTCGATTTATTGCTGCAAATTGTGGACAATAAGCTAATGTGAAGTCTTTTCAAGCTTTTCAATGCATTTTTATAAAGGTTTTACTTCCAGGTACATCAACTTTATCTAAAACAATGCTCAACACCACTTATTCCTTGACGTTGAAGACTGAAGTAGATTTGTACAAGGCCAATAAATCAAATATCGAGAAAATCTGTGTACTAGGAACATTTTGTTTGATTATTGATTGAATTGGCGACAACTTCAAATAGAACTGTGAGTTGTTTTAAGTTTCGGGGTTGACGGCATGGGTAATATCGGGTTCTTGCCGAATTGAGATGGCTTTTCATTTTTGTAGAAAAATGTTAATGTTTACAGGTAAAGAACGTAATTGTTAGTGTTTTTGTGAAGTTTTAATGAATTGGGTTCATTTTTGACAGAGATATGACTTATTTTTGGCAGTGAAGTTAGTTGATCATGGATAATATCGGGTCTTGGTTGAATTTTTGAAACGATTTAGATCAGATACTACAGATTTCTACTACACATAGATAGAGAATTTTATGCTGAACATTATGTGAGCAATGGTTTTCTGCTTTGACCACCTTCACCTATCGTAATATAGATTTTATTCTGGTGCACAGCAATTTTTTGGCAAAACATTCTTTTTGATAGGTTAACGCTTGTTATTGGTACACTTACTTTAAAACAAGTTTAGTTATTGTTTATATAGAGATCTGTACAATAAATAGTGATTATAAAAATAAAATTCAAAAAATATTATATTGTAGTAGTCCAACAAGCCATCGTACTACCATAAACTTATAAACTCAAGTACTACTGCTGTTCCTCATCAGTAGACACAAAATACCAAGGTCTCCATGGCCGACTAGTTACCATACTTACTGGAGTACTGAACACCGGTAACTTAGTGGTACTGTAAAGCGATGCTCTTGCCGTACTGTAGATTGGTGCTCCGGTAGTGGTAGTACGATAAGACATAGTAGTAGGCATCACTTTTGGCCCTTCTTTCTTGCTCAGCATGTCTTTAATGTCAATTTTGCGACTCAGCTCGAGTAATTTACTTTGTTGTTGAAGTAGACTTGTCATGTTGTGTTGGAGAGCAATAGGTAACAGCTTCTCGACCAAGGCCATAAACGTTTGTTGGACTTGAGGGATCTGCGGCTGGGCTTGGGAGGCGGTGCTGAAATTGTAAGGTATAATAACAGTGTAGGGTAATATAGATTTTTTGGGGCATGGTAAATTTTTTGGGCGGGGCAGATTTTAGGGTAAGGTAGATTTTGTAGGGCAGGATTGGTTTTCTAGAGTAGTTAAAAAAAACCTACTGATCATGAGAACTATCCATACTCTGGCTACTACTAGTAGCAGGTGGTAATGTTGTCGGTGGCGCTTCTACTGCTTTGGTCGATAATTTGTAAACTCGGAAGATTTCTTTAGACTTATCATTCACTGGTTCAGCTCTCGGGCTAACGTAAAATACGTCCAGCCGAGGTTTTTTGGTCGTTTTTCGAATTGAAAGTTGAGGTCGAGTAAAGTTTTTACTATTTGATCGATGCTTTACTGTCACTATGGTGATATTCTGTTTTTTGGTCGGTTCGTTGGTGAAGGGGTGGATCATTCTATCTGAAATGAGGTTGAAATTGATTTTATCGTCAAAAATTTTTAATTAAAAAAATTTTATTTTGAATTTTAAACTTTTTTTAAAAATTGAAGAAGTTATGATAGCATACCAGTCGGGTGACACAAAAATGGGTAGTTAGGTTCGAACACACTAGCTTGGAAGTCGGCGTAGAAGTCGGCCGCTTCTTGGCCACAGTTCTCACTAATGTCATTTAGTGTACAAGCATTTTGTTCACTCATCCAAGTCTTCAAAGAACAACTAAAGTTGTTTTGAGTTGCTGCGCATTCACGTCTAAAATTATGTTTAGTTACAGTTTATTAACCTATTTTCTATCAAATTGGCATTACAGTAGGTTGATTTATTCAATATTAGTCTTGGCATTTAGGCTTGGAATTAATAGTCATTGCTTTGGCTTTTAGGCTTATATTTTAAAGCCATTGCGTAAGCTTTTCTTTAAGAATTGGAATTAAAAGTCATGGCGTAGGTTTGGCATTAGGTTTGTAGTTAAAAGATATGGCTTAAGTCAGTACCTTAGGTTTATGATTTGGACTCACAATTTAGCCTTGTAGTTTAGGCTTAAAAGTATAAAAATATTGATAAGTGGGCTATTAGTTTAGGCTTCTCCAGCTCGAAGACATTTAGAGATAAAAGGCCAAAATTAGTGCGAAACATACATTTGTCGTATAACTTGTCACCCGCAGACTGCAGAACATAAATATTATTACTTTACGAGGAAATAGCCATAGCTTTTTTTACAAAAAATAAAATAGCATGAATTTTCTTTACAAAACATAAAATGGCAAGAACTTTCTTTACAAAACATAAAATGGCAAGAACTTTCTTTACAAACAAAAAATTAAAATGTTATGAAATAGGCTTAGTTCCTTCGAAAACTTACTTGCAATCCAACAACTGTTTACCATAAGGTTTAGGTGTGAGTTTACACCCAACCGAAATTGGCAATGACAAAACCTTTGAAATGCAGCTTTGTTTCTCCACTAATACTCTCTGGCGTTGTAGACTGAATGGTGAACATAAAAACATCAAAGCTCTGCCAACCTCACCAAACAGTTCACGTTGGTGTTGATTGCCACATTCGAGGACTTTGTCTCGGAAACATGGTAATACCTTGGTGTAGGCTTTGCAGGTGTGGAGTAGTTTGGCTTCTGAATCTATGCTTAGGATTGTTCGGACCTGAAATTTGGGTTTAGTGACAGCTGACAGTAGTATGAATGGGGGTAAGGGTAGGTTAGGGGGGTGGTAGAGGTAGTATCTCTACTTTTATCCCTACCTGGCCCCTAGTTTTACCTCTAACACTATCGACTTAAAAAGACATTACGGTGCAAATATAATATACTAAAACCACTTACAATATTCCTATCAAATTGTATATGTTCCTCCTTTAACGCCAATATACAGCTTAAAAACGCCCGGTTTGGGCAGCCATTGTTATGAACTGGCGGGGTGGGTTTTGGCTGTGCTGCTATCAAACTTGTCAGAATTGTCAATATGACAATTTTAAATGCAATAGCAGTCATTTTGATAGTTTAGGCAAGATTAAATTTAAAAAATGTAGTTGAAATGGAAATGTTATGGCCAAAAATTGGCTAAAATACGAAATGTAGATAAAAAATGTACTAGCTTTTGTACTGATGTTGTAGGTCAATGTACTGACAACACTGTAAATCTAAAAAGTTGTAGTAAAATATGTTTTAATCGTACTAAAAAGTCAATAAAGAATGGCAGTCCCGCCAAAAATTGATGTTTTCTATTGAAAACGGGTCGATATGTACTAAAGATAGGTCAATGTAGTACCAAGCGTAGTACTAGTCGAGTCGCGAATTCTTGTTAGTACAATATAATTTAGTTGCAGTACAGTAACGTTATGTTATAGTACGGTAAAGTTGAAATTTAGCGATAAATACCAATTAGTTAGATAAAATAAAGCTTGGAGTACCACCTAGTTTGGCCAGATAATACAAGACCAATACCCCTTAGTCTGGCCAAACAAATCCTGTAAGCCTTGTAAATGGTCCAAGTCGTCGAATTTCGACCAAAATTTTAAATTTAGCGATAATTTCGAAAAAGCAGCGGTTATTCGAATTACAGCCTAAAAATAACAGTAAACATATGCTTGGGTCAAACTCACAGGCGATTTTTTTGTCGCGCGTGCTTAAAGTCTTTTCGTGTTAAACGGCTTGCTTGACCATTACTTTTTGTTCTCGGCCAAAAAAAACAGTTTTACTTTTTTACTTTGTATGAAAAAAAGAAAGTTGAGCTCATTGTAGTTTTTTAAAACTTGAAAAGTTGAAAAATTTTAATTTTAAAAATAAAAACTGATAAAAAATGTATTAATACATCCTTCGTATAGCTTGTCACCTAGCAGGCTGAAAAATAAAAAAATGGCAAGAACTTTTTTTTCGATACATAAAATGGAAGAAACTTTGTATACAAAGCACAAAATGACAAAAATTTTCTTTACGATACACAAAATAGCAAGAACTTTCTGTACAAAACAGAAAATGGCAAGAACTTTCTTTACAAAACACAAAATAGCAAGAACTTTCTTTCCACAACCTAAAACTTCCAATACTCTCTCTCTCTTATATATCGACGGAGTCAATAACGATTCCTTCTGATGGCTCAACTATAGCAATCTGAATTACTTCTACTCAAATTTGGAGCTGCCATTTTCTTTGGTGGCTTTATAAGCTATGCTTTTTAGCACCTTGAAGCAAATGAAGCCGGGATTCTGAAGTCGATGCTTTTGTCTTGGAGAACAAAAAATATTTTAGTCATTGCACCGTGCAAAAAATAATATTTTTTTCAAAATTTTATTTTTTTCCGTTTTCAAAATTAAAATTTAAAATTTTATTTAAAATATTTAAATTTTTATGGTTTTTTATTTAAAAATTAAAAAAAAATCATTTCAAAACGTAGAAATTCCAAAAAATTTTCGGAAAACTCATTATTTTGCACGAAATTACTGGTTTTGTGCGGTCGCATTAGAAATGGATCAAATGTTTGGTCGAAAAAAGGCTTCCAAGACGAAGACGTCGACTTCAGAATCCCGACTCTATTTGCCTCAAGGTGCTACGAAAGCGTCACTTTTGAAGCCACTAAAGAAAATGGCAGCTCCGAATTTGAGTAGAAGTAATTCAGATACCAAGTTGGGTCATCAGAAAGCATCGTTATTGACTCCGTCGACTGATAAGGCAAAGAGTAGTGGTAGGTTTGGGTCGTGGAAAGAAAGTTTTTGCCATTTTATGTTTCGTAAAGGAAGTTATTGCAATTTTTCGATTTGTAAAGAAAGTTCGTTCCATTTTATGTTTTGTAAAGGAATTTTTTTCTATTTTTTGTTTTGTAAGGAAATTTCTTGCTATTTTGTCATAAAAAGCCAGTTTTGTATCTTGCAGCCTGCGGGTGACAATTTATACGATAAATTCCATTTTACGTTTTGTAAAGAAAGTTCTTGCCGACCTAAAAAACTCTTTTCAGTTGAATCCAAGACTGAAGCCGATAATGGTCGTTTATATTCGACACAAAGCTCTCCGGCTCTGTTGGACTTGGATTTGAATGAGAAATCGGTTAGAGAAACGGTAGGTAGGGTGTAGTAGGGTAGGTTAGAAAAGGGTATGGTAAGGTAGGAAAGGGTTAGGATGAGATAGGGTAGGGTTGATCAGAGTAGGGTAGGGCAGAGTGGGTTAGGATAAAGTAGGGTGGAGTAGCGCAGGATATGGTAAAGAAGACTAGAGTAATTTAGGGGGTGGATAATGAAATTCAAAGTATTTTTTGTTATTTAGGCTTCCAAACCTATGCCATTTGTGCCAATTCCATTGCTTCGAAAGTCCGAACATAAGCCGAACGCTTCGTCCTATTGGCGACCACAGAAACCTAACAATCCACCCCCGGATTTGGATTCGATTCAACGGAAAAGCTCGGAAAATGTTCATCAAAATTTTTGCAAAAAAAGTAACATTTTTATTTATTTTTTATTTTTTTTAAATTTTTGTTTTTTTGAAATTTTGAACTTTTTAATTATTTTTTAATTTTTATAGGACCAAATTCCTCAAAAGAAGACGTGAACATTGAAATTGATGACTTGGAGTTGGAAAACTGGCCAGAAAAGAATATTTGGACTGATTCGAATGGCTTTTCCAATTTCAGTGATATGGATGGCATTCCGGGTATGCTTTGCGGGGTTAGTTTGATACCTAAAAGCTTTGGTTTAGTTTTAAAATTTACGTGAGATTATTAGGCTTAAATTTAGCTTTAGGACTATGTTAATGTTTATTAGGCTTAGGAATTGAATTTTAGACCATATTAGGCTCAAAATTGAGTTTTAGGGCATTTAGGCTTAAAACTTAAATTTTACGGAATGTTAGGCTTAATTACACTCCAAGCCATATTACACCTAAACATCAATTATCAGATCTTTTAAACTCATAAAATGCCATTTTCAGATATCATGGACATTGACTACGGTGAAGAACCTCCACCGCCAGGAACTGAACCAAACAACGCCCCCACTACATTTTGGACACGCCAATTAGACCCAGTAAAGAGGTTTATGAAAAGCACTTTGGATAGTTTGCAGAAAGTCCCAAGGCTTATCAACCGGTCGAATGACAGCTCTTCGGAAGAAGAAAGCCATGAGAATACAGTAACCAGCAGTCTCAACGAGGAACTTCAGCTACGGCATATATGTAGGTTATACTGTATTGTACTGTCCTTTACCTCTTACGCCTCACCCTCTACCCCCTACTCTCTACCCTCTATCCTTTACTGTAGCTTTACTAAAGCCTACAGTAACCCATTCTTAGTCTAACTCATTTTTAAAACTTAAGTTTCAGTGACCCTCGCCTACCTGGACCACTTTACCCTACCCGGAGAGGAGTTGACAGAAGAGGAGTTGAACAAGTTTATGGCAATGTTGGTTCCAGAGGAAGATTCGGAGCGATTACTGTCGGAACATATCACTTTTTACGCCGAAAACTACGCAAATGACAATCAACTACTGGTCGAAGTCATTTACCGTGCCTTATGTAACTCGGAAGATGTGGGTTTTTTAATTTGCTATTGATTTTTAGGGGGGATAGGTGAGGTACGGTAGGTTTGAGTAATAGTATAGTAGGTCGAGGTAGGACACGGTAAAGTAAGGCAAAGCTAAAGAGATCGTAGTAGGTTATGGTAGGGTAGGGTACGGAAGAAAAGGCCTATTAGGATAGGTTAGACTGTTATAGGCTAGGGCAGGCTAGGTTTGAGTATTGGTAGAGTAGGTCAAGGTATAGTAAGGTAAAGTAAGGAAGATCAAAAGGTGTCATAGTACCGTAAGGCAGGGTATGGTGCGGTAAAATAGGATCAATTAGGGTAGAGCAAGATAGAGTAGGGCAGGGTGGAGTAAGTTCGGATTATGTTAGGATAGGTCAAGGGGCAAGGTAAAATAAGGTATAGCAAAAGGAGTTAGAGTACTGTAAGGCACGTGGTAAAATGGCGTCAATTAGAGTAGGTTAGGGCAGGATACGGTAGAGTAGGATAGTGTAGGGTAAGGTAGGGTAGGGTAAGGTAGGGTAGGGTAGGGTAAGGTAGGGTAAGGTATAGTAGGGTAGGGTAGAGTAGAGTAGGGTGGGGTAGATGAAAAGAAGTTAAAAGTTTTAAAATTTTGATTTTTAGGAAGAAGTTCGATCTCAATCTCTCGGTCATTTACCCACTTTGATGAGGTTTTTCGAACGAACTGGATATAAGCATCACTTGTTGGAGCTGCTTTGTGCTTATATCAATTCGATTCGGAGGTTTGATGGTGGAGTTGAGCCTCAAATCGAACAAAAAGAACAGAATTTGTGGGTAAGATAGTTGGAAAATATCAAGAACTTTCTTTACAGTACAAAAAACGGCAAGAACTTTCTTTACAAAACATAAAATAACATTTGTCGTATAACTTGTCATCCGCAGGCTGCAACATACAAAAGTTGGCTTTTTTTGAAGAAATGGTAATAACTTTCTTTACAGAATTAAAAATGGCAACGAGTTTCTTTACTAAACATAAAATGGCAAGAAATTTCTTTACAAAACCCGATTTCAGGAAGAACTCAACGTGCCAGGCACCTACAGCTCCAACGTTCTGTACTTGCCACTACGGAAACACTCCAAGTCCTCGAAACCGACGATCAATCAGATCATGGAAGTTTGCTATTTGGTACTGAGTGCCAATTTCATTGACGATGAACGACGCAACAAAATTGCAACAACTTTTACCAACTTTCTGGATGTCATTGACAAGTGCACGTGGAAGCTGAGAGACGAGGTCTTTGAGTGGGTTTTTGAAGCTTTTGAGATTTTAAAGCCATGTAACTGTTTTAAAAATGAAAATTTTGATTTGAAATTTTGGAGGAATATTGAATAGTCTACTGATTTTTTAAATTTGAAGTTTTAAAAAAGTTACAATGTGTCAACCGTACCATATATTTTGTGAAATTTTTTGGGATTATGTCAGATTTTAATTACTTGTAACTTTTTTCAAAATGAAAATAGCAATACTAAAATTTGTGAAGTGGTAGAAAAATCTTTCATATATCAATGTTATTTCACAGATTTTTTTAATTTTAAGTTCTAAAAAAGTTACAGTATGCCAACCATACCACATATTTTGTGAAATTTTTGGGGATTTTGTCTAATTTTAAATACTCGTAACTTTTTTTGAAAATGAATATTTTGATTTGAACTTTTGAAGGCTCGTAGAATAGTCGTTTGTGTTCCTACTTTAATTAGCATCTTTTTTAAATTAGAAGTTTAAAAAAAGTTACAGTATTTTAACCAGGTTCTATATTTTGTGACATTTTTGGAGATTTTGTCAGATTTTAAATACTTGGTATCTTTTTTCGAAATAAAAATTTTGATTTGAAGTTTTGAAGGATTATAGAATAGTCTTTTGTGTACTCATTTTACTTTGCAGCGTTTTTAATTTAGAAGTTTCAAAAAAGTTACAACAGGTCAATCATATCCTGTTTTTTCGAAACAAAAAAATTTTTTTTAGTTTTTTAATACTCGTTACTTTTTTTCAAAATGAAATTAGTAAAAATAAATTTTAATCTTGGCATTTTTTTTAGATTTTTGGCCGATTGTCTGAAGTTTTATCATCCGGACGAGTATATTCAAGGACATCCGATATTTGAAGTCTTCTCACATGCTGCCTTGAGTAAGTTTTCTTTTTCCTTTTGTCTCTACATTTGCCCCTACTCCTACTCTACCTGTTACACCAACCGCTCTATTCCCTCTCTACTACTTCGAATTTAACTTCTACTCTAACTTTATCTCTACTCGTACTATTGGCTCTACTTCTACCCTTACCTATTCAGGAAGAACTCAACGTGCTTCTAACAACATTTTATCTTTGTTTCAGAAAACCGTGCCGACAACCGCGAATTGGCCATAAAAGGCTTGGCAAGGATTTTTGAATTGATTTTTAATAATTATTCGGATGAAATTGCAAAAAGTCATAGTTGTGTCACCTTGGTCATATTGAGGACATTGGTATACACAACATTGCTCGAAAATGAACGGAATTATCGGCATAGACAGAGGTAAGGGATTTTTTAATGTTTGTTTTAGCCTATTGTCTTTTTCTAGGTGTAGCTCTACTTTAGCTTTAGCAACGTCCTAGGCTTAGCTTTAGCTTAGGCTGTTCTTATCTTTGTCTTAGCGCTACCGTTGTTTTAGACCTACCTTTGTCTTAGTTCTACTGTAGTTTAAACCCTGGGATTGCTCTAGCCTTACTAGGACACGGCGTAGAGCACGGTAGGGCTTAAGGTACGGTAGAGCTTAGGATACGTGACGGTCTACATTTGGGCCGTAAGGTCTATGGTCCAGTAGAACTTAAGGTATGGCAATGCCTACGGTATATTAGGCTGGATACAGTAATTTCAAGGGTATAGTAGGGCTTAGGCGGCTACGGTAACGTCACTGTTATAGCCTTTTTTCCACCATATTACTCTATTTCCTAACGTAGCTGTACCTTTACTCTACGATACTTTACATACTCTACTCTTCAACACGTTCATACTTCAGCCCTTCTCTACTTTAATTTAAACTTTAGATACTATCGATTTGTGGTTGAAGTTTTTGAGCTGATCGGAGAAACAACACCAGTAGCACTACTTTTACAAGTTTTTGGAATGGATGTGGAAGCCATTTTTGAGGGACAGTAAGTTAAAATTTTAAAATTTAAAAAATTTTTTAAAAACTTTATTTATAAATTTTTAAAATTTGCACGGTGCAGTTTTAAAATTTTTTTTTAATTTAAAAATTTAATTTTTTTTTGTATTTTAGAAATCTGCTTGATCCGCCTATACTACCCAAAAATCGTCGATGCGATCGGACTGGACTACCTGTTCCACCTGAACGCGGAATGCTCGACTCAAATGGTGGAGAACCTGGCCAGATTGGCCCAATTCGACTCGGATCCAGAAGTTCGAAGGGCGGCCAAATTGGTATTTTTGGAAAGAGAAGGATTCGATTCACCAGACGTGTTGTCTGATGTGGATCAAATGCACCCAACTCTCGATATGCAAATTCATGTGCGTTTTTAGCATTTTTTTAAAGTTTATGATGGTGGTTATCAGTAGGATGGGGAGTGTGCGGTAGATTGTTGTAGATTATGAAAGTTTGCTGTAATGTAAAATTGGACATGGTAAACTATTAACTAGTACGCTGAGATACGGTAGGTTGGGATCAGGGGCGTCGCTAGGGGGGAGGGGGTGCAGGGGGGGTGGATCCACCCCCCCTCCCCCCAGAGCCGATCCGAAAAAAATAAATTGCACAGGTGTACCTGTGCGCGAAAAATCGCAAAAAAAAATTTTTGAAAAATCGGTCTACAGGTAGCTAGCTACCTGTGGACGAAAAAATTTTTTTGGGTCTCCACCCTTTCCCCCCCCCCTCCAGAAAAAATCCGTAGCGACGCCCCTGGTTGAGAAAAAATCCGTAGCGACGCCCCTGGTTACGTTAGGGCCTAGGGTACGTTAGGGCCTAGGGTACGTTAGGGCCTAGGGTACGTTAGGGCCTAGGGTACGTTAGGGCCTAGGGTACGTTAGGGCCTAGGGTACGTTAGGGCCTAGGGTACGTTAGGGCCTAGGGTACGTTAGGGCCTAGGGTACGTTAGGGCCTAGGGTACGTTAGGGCCTAGGGTACGTTAGGGCCTAGGGTACGTTAGGGCCTAGGGTACGTTAGGGCCTAGGGTACGTTAGGGCCTAGGGTACGTTAGGGCCTAGGGTACGGTAGGGCCTAGGGTACGGTAGGCCTTAGGGTAGGGGCGAGGATTTGGTAAGGTACTGTAGGACAGGGAAACTGATATTCTGGCATTTTCAGTACATTCCTAATCTTGCACGTGCTAAATTCCGCGAGCCATGGTCGGAACTTGCCGGTTGGAACGTTTTGAACCATATGGAGGACTTTGTTGATGCAGGTCCAAACTATCGTGTACTCAGTGACGTACTGTCTAGTACTCGAAAAGGACCGGGCGAGGACGATTTTCACAGTGCTGCTGATTGGCTGACCGCTGACGATGATAAGACGGCTAGTCCAGACGGAAATGTTGGCTCGGTGGAGAGTACTGGTACTGAGGGTACTGGATTGGGTAGAAGTAGTATTGGTGGTACAGGAAATGAGACTATAACAGCTGTTACTAGTATTGATGGTACTGGCTTTGGTAGTACTAGTACTGGTACAGATGGTACTACAATTGGTAGTATGGATACTGATGATACTGGTAGTGATGGAGGAGTCAAAAATAATACTATTATTGATATTAGTGGTACAGACGGTCCAAATGGTAGTATTAATCCTAGTACTAGTGGAGTAAATGGTACGATTACTGGAGCTAAGGATACTGATGATATGGATGCCATTAGTACTAGTGCTATTGATACTGAACTTCTTTGTCTTGGTGGTACTAAAATGGATGTTGATGGCGCTGATACGAATGGTACTATCACTAGGGATACTGTTGCTGATAGTGCTATGGAAGTTGGTACTGGTACTGATGGTTGTTCAGGAGGAGCTAATACTGGCGGTACTGATGGTATGGACGGTGCTAGAGTTGTTGGTAGGATGTGTAAAGCTAGTACTGGTTCTACAGATGATGGTATGGATGTTCGTATGAATGAAGCTAGTACCGGTCCTATCGATCGCACTATGGATTGCTCTAGTACTGGTGCTAATGATGGTCGTAAGCTTGGAGATGTTACTGGTGGTACTGATGACGGTTTGCGTGGCTCTAGTACAAGTGGGGTTACAGATGAAACTGGTAGTAATGGCATTGAATTGCTTGAAGTTGTTGGTACGAAATTAAAAGAAGAAAGCGATGGATCAAGTACAGTATCAAAGGAAGAAGAACAAATTCAGATTGATGATGATGACCAGGGTGATTGCAGTCAAGTGTGATTATGGTTAGAAAGATAAAATTTTGTTTGAAATTGCACAGTTTTTAATTTTTTTTGGTTTTGAGCCGTGCTATCCTTGGACAGCTAGGGCCTAGGGTACGTTAAGGCATAAGGTGCGGCAGGGCCTAGGGTACGTTAGGGCCTAGGGTACGGTATGGACTAAATTACAGTAGGGCTTAGGGTACGTTAGGGCCTAGGGTACGGTATGGCCTAGGGTACGTTAGGGCCTAGGGTACGTTAGGGCCTAGGGTACGTTAGGGCCTAGGGTACGTTAGGGCCTAGGGTACGTTAGGGCCTAGGGTACGTTAGGGGCCTAGGGTACGTTAGGGCCTAGGGTACGTTAGGGCCTAGGGTACGTTAGGGCCTAGGGTACGTTAGGGCCTAGGGTACGTTAGGGCCTAGGGTACGTTAGGGCCTAGGGTACGTTAGGGACTAGGGTACGTTAGGTCCTAGGGTACGTTAGGTCCTAGGGTACGTTAGGTCCTAGGGTACGTTAGGGCCTAGGGTACGTCAGGGCCTAGGGTACGTCAGGGCCTAGGGTACGTCAGGGCCTAGGGTACGTCAGGGCCTAGGGTACGTCAGGGCCTAGGGTACGTCAGGGCCTAGGGTACGTCAGGGCCTAGGGTACGTCAGGGCCTAGGGTACGTCAGGGCCTAGGGTACGTCAGGGCCTAGGGTACGTCAGGGCCTAGGGTACGTCAGGGCCTAGGGTACGTCAGGGCCTAGGGTACGTCAGGGCCTAGGGTACGTCAGGGCCTAGGGTACGTCAGGGCCTAGGGTACGTCAGGGCCTAGGGTACGTCAGGGCCTAGGGTACGTCAGGGCCTAGGGTACGTCAGGGCCTAGGGTACGTCAGGGCCTAGGGTACGTCAGGGCCTAGGGTACGTCAGGGCCTAGGGTACGTCAGGGCCTAGGGTACGGTAGGGCATAGGGTACGTTAGGGCCTAGGGTACGTTTGGGCCTAGGGTCTAGTAGAGCCCAGAAGTTGACATATCATTATTATTGTTCAAGTCCACAGTCATAGTACCGTAACTTGAATTCTTTGAAATTTTATAAATTTAACTTATCAGCCCTCCAATAAAAATCCAAATTTAAATAAAAAATTTTAATATTTTAAATAGTTACGATTTAAATTGAACAAATAAGTAATATTAAAGTAGTTAAATGTCATGGTTAATATAATGTTAAGAAATGCCTGAGACCTTGTAGGTTAAAAGTTAAATAAAAATGTAAAGATATAAAATTGAGAATAAGATACTTTTAGATATTCGTATATATAACAATGATATTAAGAACAAACTAACAATGGCAACGTTCAATATTATAATCATGTATGAGAGGTTAAAAATGGAGTTAGAGAGCTAACATAGGTATTGGCAAGATAAAAAGTAAGATTTTAAAGTTAAAAAGCCCTCACATTAGGCCTCATAAGCCAAAAAACATAAGCCTAAAATGTTAAGACAAGTCTAAACAAGCCTAAAACCTTAAGACTGGCCAATCCTAAAGCCCCAATATCAATTAAGCCCAATATCTGTTGGCCAGATGAGGATCGAGTGACCTGGTCAATTCGTCCATGTCATTGTAAAGACCACGATCCGCTCGCTTCACCAGATTCTGCGCTCTTTCGGCCAACGATGTGGCCGAGTAGAGTTGGGCCGGCATGCTGACTGGACTGTTCACGATTCCATGACCGTAGGCCAACATATTCGTGACACAGCCCAATAGTTCGGCACTGATATGTCGCTTGAGGGTGTCCGCGAGTACTGTGTATCGGACGACACGGCCGGTACCCTGAAAATTGGCAAGTATAATATAGCATATTCGCCATCTTAAGTTTTGTAAAGACAGTTCTTGCCATGTTTTGTTTTGTAAAGAAAGTTCTTGCCATTTTATGTTTTGTAAAGAAAGTTCTTGCGAGTTAATCAACAACATGTTAAATCTAGTGCTCCGCAGCCTGCGAGTGCCAAGTTATACGCCCCTTTCCCCAAAAACTCTTACCTGAATGACTTTATGAGACTGTAGAACAAACTGTGTGAATCTGGGATGCATAAACTCCACACTCATCATCGTTCCACCACTCAAATTCTTCAGATAAGCCTTGTCGGAGTCTCGGATTTGATTTGCCAATTTGTACATTTTGAAGCCGCTCTGATCGGCCGCCACAATGAACGTGAATGTTATGGCGGGGTTGATTTTGTGCAAAACTTCCTTCAGTTGTTCGACTTCGTGGCTTAGGATGCTCCAGTAGTCACCGTGAGACTGAAAATGAATTTTTTTAAATTTAAAATTTTTCAAAAAAAAAGTTTTTAATTTAAAATTTAAAAAAAAATTAAAAACCTACACTGCCAGTACGATAGAAGAAGATATGTTTGGGGTATTGACCATTAATTTTTTGATAAGTGTCAAGTGCCCTCAAAAATTGTTCCCTCATCCTTCGCTCATCTCCCACTGTATCAAACTTAAGCTCTTGCTTTTCCCCAAGCTTGACATCATTCGCCGATGGCTTTTTGTAGAACCAGTAGCGACCGTGCATCTTCAATTTGTCATTCATTGTGTAGCACAAGGCCACGGATTGCGGTTGATCATTGGCCAGTCCTGCTTGGCGTTCGTAGAGACTCAGAGGGCCTGAGCCCGAGTACGCCAGACCCATGTACATTGTTGTTGACAGATCCACGTAGCGGCTGAAAAATGATAATTATAATTCACTGTAACATAAGAAAGCCTTGAAAATCCAAGTAAAATTTAAATTCAATAAAAAGTTTTAAAAATTCGAATATTATCCAAAAAATGCTCTAAAATTGGCGACTTGAGCAACTTTAAAGCAACGCAACTTGGCAACCGTTGTAGATATATAAAAGCTTTAGTAATCAAAATTATAGCCAACATAATGGACATTAATCTGGCAAACGCAATTTTTCAGAAATCGACCGGTCAATAACTAAAATTGTTTTTTCTTATAAATATTATGTTTTAAAATTTTCAGATTCCCAACTTGAGCAACTTTAAAGCAACGCAACTTGGCAACCGTTGTAGATATATAAAAGCTTTAGTAATCAAAATTATAGCCAACATAATGGACATTAATCTGGCAAACGCAATTTTTCAGAAATCGACCGGTCAATAACTAAAATTGTTTTTTCTTATAAATATTATGTTTTAAAATTTTCAGATTCCCAACTTGAGCAACTTTAAAGCAACGCAACTTGGCAACCGTTGTAGATATATAAAAGCTTTAGTAATCAAAATTATAGCCAACATAATGGACATTAATCTGGCAAACGCAATTTTTCAGAAATCGACCGGTCAATAACTAAAATTGTTTTTTCTTATAAATATTATGTTTTAAAATTTTCAGATTCCCAACTTGAGCAACTTTAAAGCAGCGCAACTCGGCAACCGTTGGAGATGCAAAAACGCTATAGTAATCAAAATTGTAACCAACATAATAACCTGCGTTCTGGAAAAATCAATTTTTTTTTAAATCGACCGGTCAATAAGTAAAAACACGCTATATCTCGAAAAAATCTCATGTATACCCACCTCAGCGACCCCAAAATCCGATTGCTAAGCACTGGGTGCTGATTCAATCCTCCCAGCTTCAGATTGGCTTTCATCAAGAAGTTGATACAAAAGTCCTGTTTGATATTGACCGCATTCTTCCTCAGGCAGTGCTGAGAAAGCACTCTCCATCTGAGTTCAGCCATTTTGATAGTGTTATGAACCGTCTCGTCTCTTTGTCTGGAGAGGAATATAATGTATTCAAAGTCCTCCTGCTTCTTTTCTTGTACATATTTTGTAATTTCGGAGTCGTTGAGTCTTGTGGTTTCTGGGCGATCAATGTCCATCCCCAACGAACGAGCTCGTTCGCACAAAGTTGATTCAAAATTGCTAAAAATTAAACTTTTGATTACAAAAAAAACATTAGAAAATAGAACATTAAACTCAAAAAACACATTTCTTAAAAAATCAAAAATGAAAGTCTAAAAATCAAAAAATCAAAATTTAAGCCTAAAAACCTAAAAATCCAAATTTAAGCCTAGAAGCTAAACAAAATGTAAACATAACCCTAAAATCAAACAAAACCCAAAGTTAATCTTAAAAAGCAACAAAAAAAACAAAATTAAGCCTAAAAGCAAAAAAACCCTAATTTAAGCCTAAAAATTCAAATTTAAGCCTAAAAACCAAACAACCCTAATTTAATTCTAACAATTTAAATTTAAGCCTAGAAGAAAAAAAATCCAAATTTAACTCTAAAAAATCAAAATTAAGCATAAAAACCAAAAAATCAAATTTAAGCCTAACCAAAAAGAAGAAATTTATTAAGCCTGAAAGCCAAGAAATCTAAATTTAAGTCTAAAAAATTAAAATTAAGCCTAAAATCCTATAAAATTCAATTTAAAGCCTAAAAACCAAAAAAAAATTAAGAAAACACAAAAGAAAACTTGATTTAAGCCTAGAATCCAAAAAAACAAAATCAAGCCTAAAACCCTTTTTCCAAAAAAATCAAGAACCTTACGTCAATTCTTCCGGCCTTAAGGCATTGTTCAAATTGACGATAGCCCATTTGACTCCTCCATTCCGAGGCTCTTCAAAGTTCAAATTGTTCATTTTCCAGTTCAAACTGTCCATACTCACTTGGGATGTGGTGCCTCGGAACTGCATGACTGGTGGATCCAGCTTGTAGGCCTCGGTCGTTGCGATTTCTTTATCAATTGTGATCTAAAAGTGGATTGATATACACATCTTATATGTACATTTATACTACATATATATATGTATCCATATACATACATATATATTGTAGTAACTATGGTTAATAGTTATTGATTTTTAAAAATACTAAACCTACTCCATATTGCTTGGCATAAATATTGATGTTTGCGAGGCAGAACTGGTTCTTGTCCGTACAGCCCGAGATCACTTCAACTTGCTCTGGCGGTAACATTTGACATTGTCTTGTCATGGCTTCGGTCTGAAATTCAAAATTTTAAAAGTACGATCTATAATGTATATTCCCTCATGTACCCTACAGTACTCTACCCTATCATAACGTACCCTACCCTATACTTCTTTTTCCTTTCTCCAGCCCTACCGTACTCTATCGTACCTCACCTTATCCCGCAATACTCGACCTTACACTACCACATCCTATCCTACACCATCATGTTACAGTACTTTGCCTTATCCTACCGAGTCTTGCCTACAACAATCTACCAAAATCCCGATTACCGTAGCTTAAAATGTCCCAAGCTAACATATCCTAACTTATAGTAACATCTCTACCCTACCATACCTTACTCCACCCTACCATATTCTGCGCTACCATACCCAACTATACCCGCCAGTACCTTACATTGCCCTACATTAACCTACCATCCCCTACCCAACCCAACCCCAAACTACCCCGCCCTCTCAAATTAAAAACGAATTAAAACCCCTACCAAACTAGGTTCCATCTGACTCTTCTGCATGCTGATCTTTTGTCCATTCACAATCTCCAAGCACTCCATGGGGTAGTAGCAGTCTCTTTTCGTTCTCGTATCCTTTTGAACCACACATGGCAGGTGGGGATTGACCGTCACTCCATAGTTCATGCTCAGAAAGTGTTCGTAGACATTGATTTCTTTCTCGCCTTTCATAAAAGACATTTCATTGAAGGACTTGTCCGACAACTTGAAGATGGGGAAAATTCTAGGTTTGGGCTGGTGAGTTGTCTTTACCACAACATCTGGAATGGTCGTTTAAAAAAAGTGAAAAAAAAGTTAAAAAATGAAGAAGTTCGAGTTGGGCATTATTTTTCGATTTTGTACCAATTAAAAAATCCACCCCTCCAACACAAAAAAAACTAAAATTTACCCCGCCCAAAAAAATAAAATCTTTTTCTCTACGTAAAAAACGTTTTCAAAAAAAAACCCCTCCCTAAAAATGTTACCCCCTCCCACAAAAAGCATAAAATGCTACACCCCCACCCGCCCACATAAAAAAACAAAAATGCCTTACTTTTCAAATGTTTTATAGCCCAATCAAGGTGGTTACCAATGTTGTCAGCTACGAAAGACGAATCAACGTTCTCATCGTTCCTTCGTGGCGATCGTTCACGTTGTCGATCATTGCCTCGGTCACTGCCTCGTCTGTCGCTGCCACGGTCACTGTATCTGTCATTTCGATGATTCGACCTGTCTCTGTCGTACCTATCACCACGGTCATTACCGTATCTGTCGCCACGGTCATTACCGTACCTGTCTCCACGGTCGTTACTGTACCTGTCTCCACCTCGGTCGTTGCCGTACCGGTTGTCACGCTGACCACCATAGTTGCCACGGTTGTTGTTGTAGTTGCCGCGATTGCCTCCATTAAAGCCGGGACGACCGTTCCCACCGTCCAGCTTCTTCTTCAACAGAGCGTGAAGAAACGTGAACACGCTCACTTTGGGAAAGAACGGTGAGGACTTGACCTGGACCTGGCACACGTACTGATATCCCTGTTTGTTGTTGGATGTGACCAGCTTCACCGACTTTTTGATGCCCCTGACCAGGATTCGGATGTCGTTCATGATAGGTTTGCTGTTATTGACAAAGAAAAAGGTGCTGTCCTGATAGACAACGTCCTTCAGCTCGCCTTTCATTTGATTTCGATACAAATACATGTTGGTCATGACGTCGAGGAATTGTGTCACCGTGGGGACTTTGTCTATCAAAGAGAGCTTGAATTCTTCATTCTTTTTAAAGGTTACCTAAAAATTTAGTTACTGTAACTTTCTTTATACGTAAATTCTAAAAAAAATCATCGTCAGTTGTCCCTCCCAACTGATAAAAACCCATAAAAAATTACTCCGCCCAGCCCAAAATAAAAAAAATGCAAAATAACCTCAATTACCATAACAAACTGCAAAATAACCTCGATTACTGTAACAAACTTACTTTGAAACCAATTACTTTGCCGAGAAATGAATAATCCAATGCCTTTAATGTATCAGATTTTTCGAGGAGAATCTCAACTTTGATTTCTTCGTCCTTCGTTGAAAGTAATTTTGGATAAAACAGAATGTGACTTCGATCGTAGATCATCTCCTTGACAGAGAAATTCTCTACCGAATTCTGTGTAGCGACTTCGTTGAGAACGGCGAAGGAAATCATATCACGGTGGGTCTTGTTGATTCTGGAAATTGATGAGGTTAGGCTTGAAGTTTGAAAGAAAGGCTAAAGTAGTAAAAAAACAAGTTATCTTTGCCATTTCCCTCTAAACTTTTTTAGCTACACCCTTTCCCTCTAAACTTTTTTAGCTACACCCTTTCCCTCTAAACTTTTTTAGCTACACCCTTTCCCTCTAAACTTTTTTAGCTACATCCTTTCCCTCTAAACTTACGCTCCCTTCATGCCTCCGTCGATGTTCGCGTATGCTTTATTCGTATCAACAAAGGTACCATCTGCCTGTCGTTCTCTATTCTGCCGTATCGTGAAAATATCAATGTGATACTTGTAGATCGTTTTGCCCTCCAGATTCTCTGGCAGTTCCATTCGAAACGCGTTTGTTCTAACTTTTGTCGTTTCCAAACGAAGATTCGATTCTTGTGGGACTTTAGCTAAAACAATATAATTAGATGAAACATCATGTCGATTAATACTAAACCACTTAAAGTATAAAATATCACAATTGTTTTAAGCTGTTGATAGTCATCTAAGCCTACTTTGCCCTCAAATCAGCTAAAATTTTCAAAGAATCAAAGCTGACGGCTATATCAACATCATTTACAATATTGACCCTAAAAACAGAAAAAATAAAATAAAAAACTTACGAGGAATACCCTCATATTTTTCGTCTTCTCCAAAAGGTAAGTGTGCCATTGTTAGTTTGTTCTGAAATCAAATCAAATAAATTTTCAAACTACTAATATCTACTACAATATCATTTAAAAATGAAGAAAATCGGCGAAGATTAATACAAAATAGCTCGCAAAGCATGGTAAATTCAATTATCGTTAAAATAAATTATAATAAAATTACAAACACAAGAAAAACTGTAAGAAAAACGAAAAAATCTGTTTTAGTCATTCCCAATGATGTTAACAACGTAAAAATAATTCAATACTCATCAAAACACGCGATTTGCAAAAGAAAAGCACTTTTATAAACACTCCCTTCTACTGCTAAACAATTCCTATCTAAATCAGAAGTATAAAACAAGAAACAGCCATTATTAAGTTCAAGAGAACTTACTACAATATAAAATTATTCTCACTAGTCCAAACTGATACATTACTCAAACTAATCTCACGTAAAGTATAAAACAGCATTTTTTCTAGCTAAAAATCCACATTACTTTGTAAAAACATCAAAAATAGCTACACAGATATCAAAATAAAAAGCTATATTATCCATGAGAGATTACCATGAATAACATCCAATTTTAGAAATGATTAGAAAGACAAAACTTGCCAAACCTTACCTCCTAAGATAATGCATTCTTTGAAATAGTTACCAATCAAAAGCAAGGATTTTTCGACCGGTCAAAAAGTTCTGAGACCACTTTTCCCCAAGTGAACATGGCTTCTCCTGTTCATTCCTCAATATACGCGTTTTTACGTTTAAACCTTAAAATAACTGAACGTAAACTTGATCAAAAACTTAGAAAATAATATTAAAAAGCCCATACTACCTATTGCAACATCGAAACATCCCAATAACAACCCAAGAACATGCGAAACATATCACATAAACATTGAAAAAGACGATTTACGGCTAAAAAAGTTGATTTATAGCCAAAAACTAGTTCAACACCGCTGTTCTTTATAAAAATTAATTGTCTTATCAAAACAGTTTGATAGAAAAACAACTGGAAGAGCGGAAAGAAACATTTCGCTTCGAGAACGAGAAAAGAATGATAAAAAAAGGGCAAGAACGTTGCCACAAAGGTCAAAAGGACATTCATCTTGTTTTTGAAGACAGTTTTGGCGCAAAAGTGACCAAAACAAATTCGTGTGAGAGGTTTGGTCAATTCTTTCGTCGACATTGGGCAAAGCGCAGAGTTTTGAGGAAAGATTTAGATAATAAATAGTTTTGAAGAGAAGTTTGGACTAGAAAAAAGGTTTCGAATGCAAATTTTTAGGCTTTGAGGATACTTTTAGGTAACAAATTTTGTTTTGAAGACAAGGTTGGACTAGAAAAAGTAGTTTAAAGACAGGTTTAGGTAATAAATTTTATTTCGAAGACAAGTTTGAACTAAAAAGAAGTCTCAAAGGTAGATTTTTAGTAAAAAACATTGTTTTAAAGGTAACTTTAGGTAAGAAAATCGTGTTTTAAGACAAGTTTAAATAACAAAAAGCTTTAAAAAACAATTTTAAGTAACAAATAGTGGTTTCTCTTAAATTCCACTTTTTTAAAGGTTACGATCCCGGGTCGTATCTTAAACTCGGGCAAGCAATAAATCATGTCGCCTGAAATGTACGAAAAGAATCCAGATCTAACGTCAGTTTTGCACTGTTGTAGGCGTAGCGAGAAGAAATCTCTTACTACAAATCACCTAAATGAAGTAAGAAATGAAAAGTTGGGTTGGTACTATAAGATGTTTGACCTGATCTAGGAAATAATACAGTATAAGGAGGAATCAGCTGGCCGCTACAAAAAGAAACATCAAGAAAAAGCTATGACAAGTCTATAAAAAAGAGTAGAAGCAAGGTATGGGAAAGCAGGGCAAGAAAAGGTGGGTAAGGCAGAGCAAAGTAGGGTAGAGTAGAGCAAGGCAAGGCAGGGTAGAGTCGACTAGGTTAGGGTGAGGTAGAATATGGCAAAGCTGTTACAAAGCGTAGAGGTGGGGTAGAGCACGGCAAGGCAGTGTAAGGCACGGTACAGAAATGAAGATCAGTAAAAGGTGGGGTAAGGCAGAGCAAAGTACGGTAGAATAGAATAGGGTTTGGCAAGGCTAGAAAAAAGCGTAGAGGCAGCCAGAGCACAGGAAGGGTAGGGTAAGGCAAGGTGGTGTCTTGCCTTTCATTGTCTACACGTCAGGGCAGAGTAGACAACGAAAGGCAAGAAAAGTTGGGGCAGGGTAAGGTAGGGTAAATAGGATAATGTAATGTAGTACAGGCTATGTAGGATAAACCGCAACTTCATAAGTAAAATTACTTTGGAGTGAACGCCGATAATTCAAAACCTTATCTACTATAATATTTTGTCCCATAATTCCTGCCAAAACTATGTGTCCGATAAGCTTTCTCAGCAAAACAAATAAACAACATTTGGCTGACAAAGCAAGATCAAATTTACGATCAAATCATTTGTTGCCATCGCTCAAAATGGCTTCGGAAGCAATGACAAAAGCGAGGTGCCAAAGCAGCCGATTCAGCCAAAAATTTAAATTTTTGTTTCGGAAGACCTTACCCCGTCCTGTCCAATCGGTTTCTTTTTGCCATTGTGTCTGATCGGAAGCTGCGTTTCTAATCTGATTGGAAATGTCACGACAAATCATTAAATTTCTGTTTTGGCTTCTAATCAACGTTGGAAATAGAGCAGAGCGCGGAACGATATTTTGTGCCGGGCAGGGAATTACAGTACACATGGCAGGATAAAAAATCGGCAACGACTTTCTGTGTTTCCAACCCTGGTTTTAATACAATAAGTTAGCAATAGGGTGGGTACAATGGCAAGCCGCTTCCCTGCCCTACATTACCTTACCCTATCGACAAATCTAAATATATGGATACGTCGTAAAGAAAAGTGACATAAGAATGTCATAACATTAGCCAGCTATCCTGATGTATCATATAACAGATTTACAAGGGAAATTTTAGATATACTGTGACATTATTTATCGTAGATTTAAGTAAGAAATGGATATTGTTAAAGTATTGTCCAAGATACTAAGAATGATGAGTTCTAAGAACTTCTTGACCTATGTAATTATGAAAGATAATCGATTCCAAGAACTTTTTGACCAAGAATAAGCTTTCCGACAACTTTTTGACCCACCATATAAAAGATAATAGATTCTAAGAACTTTTTGACCAAAGCATACAAGAAGAAAAGTCCTAGAACTTTATGACCAAATCATATAAAGGATAATAAATTCTAGAAAATTTTTGGCCAGTTTTGGCCAAGCATTACAAGAAGTAATGGTCTAGGTACTTTTTGACCAAGCCATAAAAGGAGAAACATTCTAAGAACTTTTTGACCAAGCTATACAAGAAGAAAGGTTCTATTGGTTGTTCACATAATTCTGCGCCCGTACCCCACAAATTTGCTTTGAGAAGGGGCGCAGAATTAAGTGAACAACCTAATAAATACTATTTTAAGCCCAAGTCATACAAAGAAGCGTTCTACGCACTTTTTGACCCCGATAACAATCGTTTGTAAGAGTGCAATGCAGGCATAAGATATAACCTTGTTAGGACATTTGTTTCTTCAAGAGAAAGCACTTTTGTATCCAAACTTCTTAAGAAGATAGAAACGACAAAAGCATACCGGCTCTTTGTCGTCTTATATGAGCCGTTTCCTTTAACCTTGTGTATAGAGAAATAAAATTAGCATATATGTATAAACAAGACACGATATAAAATCATATAGGAAAACACAAGTTTTGTCTTCAAACAGAGATATTTGCCTTGCCACGCCCTACCTTGTCTAGTCTTACTCTACCTTACCTTACATTGCCTTGCCTTACCGTTGCCTTTCCTTGCCATGTCCTACCTTGTCTAGTCTTACTCTATCTTGCCTTGTCTTGTCTTGCCTTTCTTTTCCTTATCCTTACTTTATCGTTACCCTGACCTATCCTAAACTACTCTGCCTTACCCTAACCTATCGCTACCTCATCAACCTTACCCTGCCTTCGCCCTAAAATTTCATAGTCTAGTAGTATATATGTACACAGTAAAAAACAAAACAAGGTTAACAACTTAAACTTCAGCTCCGGAATCCTCCTTCGCAACTTTTTTAAAACTGCTGTAAAAGCCGGTTTTACAGCGACTTGTGTATCTTCAAGGTCTATTGTAAAAAGAGGTCGTAGTAAAGGAATTTGTCGTAACTTATAAACGACGTCTGGTTGCTAACCTCGTAACACAACACTGCTCTCATTAGATCATATCCTTACGAAAATATACCTGTCATCGAAATATAATAAGTTGGATAAGCATAAGCAGTCCTTGCCCTTTTAAAAATGATACTTAAAAACAGATTTTCATACCTATTCAGCTGTTGAATTAGTATTCACAAGGGTTTTTTGCAACAAATAAGCCTAAAAGAAACTTTTTTAACTTCAATACCTAAAAATGAAAAATGAGCTAAGATAGTGTATAGATAAGGTAAGGCAGGGTAAGATAAGGTACAGTAGAGTAAGATAAGGTACGTTAAGGTAGTTTAAGACAGGACATGACAGAATATGATAAAATAATATGAGGTAGGTAAGTAAAAACCTTCAACTAATGTATAGATAAGGTAATATAACCTCTCCAAAGCAAATTATAACAATTTCTAATCATCAACTTTATTTTCGAATAAATACATTGTTGACCGTGAGTACCATAAATGTAAAACAGTGGAATATATATTTCGTAACGGTGAGATATATCTTATATAAAAACTGTAAGATATACATCTTGTATTATATAAATTGTTATAGATCGCATAAACATAACAAAGGGAGTCATCCTGACTCATTTTTACTGTTTTGAAGCCCATCTAGCCCTTGTTTCTTATAATAAAAGCGTGTTTTCTGTCTTGTTATAGTCTTTAAACATTAACAATATAAAAAATAGGTAACAACATCAAAATGTAGCAAAATCTATCCAAAACTTGTCAAAAAACAGCAAAAACTTGTGACAAAAACACTACCAAAATGACGAAAACTCTACTAGAGCCCGAATTCAACCACTATTTACCAGCTTTAACGTTAGAACAACAATAAGAGTTATTATATTATAGTAGAGCAACAAAAAATTAATACATAACATAGAAGAAAAGAAACAAAAAGCAGTATATTATAATGAAAAAAAGCAAAAATTAATCAGATACTTAAAGTAGTACTATAGGTGAAACAGACCATGAACTTTGTAAAACAACTATCGCTTGGAGCTATATACAACATGTATTATGAATGACGACGGTATTATACCTTCTTCTTCTTCTTGGTGTCTTTGGGCGGGGTTTCGGACAGTTTTCGCTTCTTTAGGGCTTTTTCAAACGCTGAAAATAAGATGAATTTGACCAATTTGCATATTACAGCGTATGGAAATAAATGACTTTTTTATGGGAAAATATAAAAGAAAAATAGCTTTTTTTAAATTAAGGTGATTTATTATTAAAATATGCCCTTCTATTACTAAAATTGCAAAATTTTGTAAAATTTTGAAAAAACATTAAAACATCACGTTATGTATTGTAAAAAAAGTTTCTGCTATTTTACGTTTTGTAAAAAAAGTTCTTTCCATTTTATGTTTTGTAAAGAAATTTAATGCGATTTCTTCGTAAAACAACGTTTTGTGTTTTGTATTCTGCAGAGTGCGGGTGTCAACTTATACGATTCAGGCCTTTACGTCTTGAAAAGAAAGTTTTGCTCATTTTTTACTCTGTAAAGAAAGTTCTTGTCATTTTGTCATTTGTAAAGAAAGTTCTTGTCATTTTGTTATTTGTAAAGAAAGTTCTTGTCATCTTATGTACTCTAAGCAAAGTTCTTGCCATTTTCTTATAAACCAGCAAAATTACGACAACACTTTTGAAATTGCACTTAAAAATTGAAAAAAAAAAAATTCTGCCGCAGCTTACATAACTTATACTAAAACAATGTAGCCTTAGAGAAATTGTAAGAAACCGTATTGCGCAACGTTTTCTTATGTAAGATTAAGGTTTATACAAGATTTGCCTCGATGTAAAACGACCCAACAAATGACTGCGAGTGCTGGGATCTTACTCTATGTTACTGCGAGCGATCAGCTTCTCCCTGTTGTGTAAATTTTATCAATATTAAAATCTCAAAGCTGGCAATCGTACTACGCATAGGCCTAGAAGTTTAAACGTCAAAAAGGTAAGCGTAGGACTAAAAACAAACGCCTAGGTTTATTAAGTTAAAGCCTTAGCCTACTATGCCTAACAAGGAAAGGTCCCCACCGCGCATTGGACTGGTGAAAAACTGGTACATACAAGTTGTAGGGCATGGTCAAATTAGTCAAAAACAAAAAAAAAATTTACCCATCGTGGGGGTTTTTTAAAAAATTTTATTACGTCGAAGTTTAAAAACCTTAATTGCGCTCGCGCTAGACTCGGAAAAGAAGAGGAGAGAGTTCCGTGATGCAATAGCGCAGAGGTTGCGCTCTCGACTAACGCTCAAAGCCTGTTGGTTCGGGCCGCGTCGGGGGCACACTCTTTTGTGCTTGAATTAAAATTTTTAAAATAAAAAAATTATTTTTTTATCTAATTTTGTTTTTTTTACAATTTGTTCGTTCTATTATTCTTTAAATAGTAATTTTGTTTTATTTTTGTTTGTAATAATGGCGAAGTTTTGTCCTGAGATGATCTCAACGTGCCTTACGAGCTGGTGGATAAGTATGTGGTTTTAGGAATCGAATAATGGCCGGAAGAAAACGTATAAACAGATGGAAAAGAAATTCGAACGACGAATCGATTGGTAAAAAAACATCCGGTCGATTGTATCGTTATGTTGAGCTGCGAAATCAAAAGAATCTGGAGACTTATAAGAGTTTACTTGCTGATAAAATGATTTTTGAGAAGTTCAGAGCTATTTGATTGTGCTTTTAGGTAATTATGCTAAATAAATAGAATTGTAAGTATAATAATACCATTTAAATTATATTAAAAACAAGCTTAATAAATAGAGAGGAGAATTTTTTAATGTAAACAAAACAAAAGTTGACCAAAAAAAAACAATTTTTTATTTTTAAAAATTTTAATTCAGGGACAAAAGGGTGTGCTCCCGGCACGACTCGAACCGACGTGCTTCGAGCGTTAGCCGAGAGCGCAACCACTGCGCCATTGCAGCACGGCACTCCCCTCTTCTTTTCTGAGTCTAGCGCGAGCGCAATTAACATTTTAAACTTCGACGTAATAAAAATTTTTTTTAAAAAAACCCCCCACGAGGGGTAAATTTTTTTTCGGTTTTTGACTAATTTGACCATGCTCTACAACTTGTATGTACCAGTTTTTCACCAGTCCAATGCGCGGTGATGACCTTTCCTTGTAAGCCTACCAAACCTAAACCAAGAAAGCCTAACTCTACTAAATTTAAGCTTACTAAGTTTAACTAATACGCCCAAGTCTACTAAGCCAAAGCCTGAATCTACGAAGCCTAGCCTCTCTGATCCTTCAACGTCTTAACCTTCAATTTTTACCTTGTTTTCCATTTTTCAGTGTGCCATTCTTAACTTCTCCTTCTTTTTTCTTCTTATCTTTCTTCTCTTTGCTTTCTGACTTCTTCAGCTGGTCGATTCTTTTCATTTTGGCCTTTTTTTCGACCAATTTCACGCACAACTTCGCTTGACATTGGCCTGCGGCGGTTTCGACTTGACACCGGTAAATGCCGGAGTCGGCCGGGCGGTGCTGCTGAAATTTTTTTTCAATTTAAAAAAAAACAGTTAAAAAATTTATTTCCAAAAGTGAAACAAAATCTTTTTTTTTCAATTTTTTAGAATAAAATTATAGCAAGTCCGAGAACCGTATTTTACCTCTACTCCACCAATAAGACCTCCCCTCCCCCAATACTAAAGTCTCCAGCCCCCGGATCAACTCTCCTTACCCTGATTCTAAGCCTAGCTTCATACACATTAGGTCGATCCGTTGGCTTTACATTGTACCTCTTCCTGCCTTTGTTACTCAGTAACTTCGGTTCTTTATTCTTATATTCTCTGAACCATTTTACTGTGTATTCGACTGTAGCACCGAAAACTACGGTAAAAACCGTAAACTCTTCGCCGGCTTTGTTTGTGGCTTCATCTATTTTGGGTTTGCGGACTATTCGAGGCTTGTCGTCTTTGTCTAAAATATTTTTTTTTAATTTTGAATTTTTTTTTTCAAAATTTCAATTTTTCCTTTAAAAACCAATTTCCCCCATAAAAACCTACGAAACGACAGTAAGATCTTCCCAGTCAACGTATGACCATTCGCTTTGACCTCCACCATATAATCTCCTTCATCCCGATCCCTCTTGAACTTAACCATCTTCAACTCGCATTTGTATTGCCCATCCTTCAACTTGCGATTACTCTCCAATATCCTCCCCGGCTTTATCGGTTTCCAATCCTTTGTCCACGTTATTTTAGGCGGTTTTGGGGTGTAAAACAAGCCTTTCAGAATGATTTCATTGTTATCTGATATGTCAATGCAAGGTTTCTCGATCCATCGCAGTTTATCTTTCGTCGGCTCTTCTAATTTGCATAAAAATTGTTTTTCGAGATCATTAGCCTTTAGAATAACATCGGTTATATCTTTTGATGGTATGGTTAGAGTGGTTAATATAATATTTCGTCCTGCTGCTTTTTCCAGCACCTGAGTTAATATTGAGATCGTTTCGGATGATATTAAGGGTTCGTCCTAAAAAGGATGTCGTTTTTAGTTGTTTTTCTTCATAAACATCTTTAACTTAATATATAAATCTTCAAAATAACGTAAACTCTCCAAAAATGAACAATTTTTAGCAAAATAAAACGAAATCCCTCAAAAAGCCAGCAAAAACTTGTCATTACACTAACGTAACATCATATTTTTACTCTTTTTCAGTAAAAAAAATCAACTTATCATCCATGAATTCATTTTATTAATCCATTTCTTCATTACTCACTATCTAAACATCAAGAAAACCCAAAGAATAAAGACTTACATTCACAATCCATGTTACATCACTTTCTTTTAGGTTTCCAGCTATTAAAGCATCAATACTTAAATTGCCTCCATCTTGAGCTACATTTGACTTTAAAAGTCGGGTTTCTACCTTAACATCAGCTTCTGAAGCTGCTTCATCTGTGACTGAAAACGTTGATAATTCTGGCTTTTCTGGAAAGAAGATCAGATTCAAACCAATTAATTTTTATATCTAGTTGGATTAAATTATGAATTCTTTTTACAAAAATATAAAAAGAATGTTTTTAGTAATTCAGATCTTTAAATTCAAGATAAAACGAATGAAATTAAAGGTATAAATCAAGTAACAACTAAAAAAATCAAAAAACCACCCTATTAACCCTAAAAATCCCAAAAAATAGAAATTATGTTAGATATAATGACAAGTTCTTGCTGTTTTTATCCATGCTAACATCAAAATTTCTTCTCAACTTAATTATCTAAAAATTCAAAGCAAAACAACTTTAAAACCTCACCCTCTTCTTCATCAAACTCTTGAGAAGTGCTTGGAAGATCGGGAGTCAATACTCGACTCTCTTCCATCGGTTCGTCCTTAACTTCATTTGGGAATGTCCTATTCCAAGTTAATTCTTCTAAATTGTCCAACACCTCAAGTTTAACGTCGTCGAAGATTCTTTTGTATTCTTCTTTTTTATTGACCGCTTTCCTTCGTCCTGCAGGAAATTTGGCGTCTGAAACGTCTCCATCCGCCATTTTTATACCTAAAACAAATCATAAAACAAGTAAATAAATTAAACATAAAACTCGTGCAGTCTCACTCAAAAAGCGATAAAAACCTAAAACAATATAGCAAATTAAATATTTTTCGCAATTTTTGTTTTAACATAACAGTACCATTTTGGGCTTTTAGTACCATTTAATACCAAAAAATATAAAAACATTACCAATTTAAATTTTAGTACCATTTGGTACCATACAACTAAATTAACTAAAAATTTAAAATCGCCTTTAAAAAATAAGCTAATTTCCAAAAACCGCATTTGTCCTGGCGCCAAAATTTCTTGGCGTGAATTAAGCAATGTGGCGAAATGCCACAAAGCTGTTGGCGGGCTTCGTTTTCGTGGTGGAAGTTGACTAGATTTATAAGTTTATTCTTATTTTGTTTTCCTTGGACAATTTTGAACATATTTGTTAATTTTTTATTAATTTTTAACATGATTAATATTTTTTTAATTTATTTGTTAATTTATTCAGTTTTAGTTTATTGAGTAAGTCGTTTTTTACACAAAATGGTTCAAGATATTAGGTTATGGTGAAGATTTGTTGGAGATATTGAGGTTATGAGCAAAATGATTTGTTCGGATTGGATGTTGACCAAAAGATCTGTACATTGACCAGCAAATTGTTGGCAAACCTTTGCACTGATGAATATTAAGCGGTAGAGTCGGATTTTTCGACTTCCAACCAGTCGTCGACTTCAGATTCGGAGTTCTTTTCTGATCCTTCAAAGTCTTCGGTTTGGGACATCTTCAGAAGTTGAACGGTAGCAACGAGCTCAGAGTTCAGTTCTTCATTTATTTTCAAATCTTCTTTGAGAGTGCGGATTCTGAAATTTATTTTTTTATTAACTTTTAGTTAACTTATAATTGTTCTTGCTATACTCTACCCTATTCCTTAATATTCCCCCATTGTAGTCTTACTCTAGCTTATTTTGAGCTTAAAAAATTGCTTACACTTTTTCATTCTCATCGCGTTCCTTAGCCATATTTTCTTCAAGCACACGTTGTTTCTTCTGTAGATCTTCAATCTGCTTCAGCAAGCGAGGGTAATCTTCTTCATAAAGTCCTCTTTCTGCCTTAACATCTCTGATCGTACCCTCGTGTTCAATTATTTTCTTCTTCAGTTCTTCCACTTCCTTTGCTTTCTTGTAGATCTCTTCTTGTTTGGACTTCAATGACTCATTTAACTGTTTGATCGTGCTACAGTTATTGGAGTAAATTTTGGTACAATTCAGCTCAGATCCGCTGAAGTTTTGTTGGCCGAAAACACAACAACTGACTTTGGATTTGAAAGCCTCCAGTTTTTGTTCAACTTCTTCAATTCTCTTGTGTGCTTCTTTGGTTTCCTTCTTGGCTTCTCTCGCTTTTCTGACTTCATCAAAATACTCTTGTATGTTTATGGAAGCTCTTTCTTTTTCAATCAACGCTGTTGCCAATTGTTTCTCTAGTTCTTGGACTCTAAAATTTACAAAAAAATTTTTTTTTTTTTTTAATTTTAGGTATTGTAAAATTAAAGGAACCGTTCATTGAATTTTTTTGAACGAAATTTTTTCGCGGGTTTACCATTGTTTTCGATTAATTTTTTGAGTATTTTTGTTTCCAAAAATTATTTTCATTTGATTTATTTTTTACGGACGCGGTTGTATATTTTGAACCATATTGAGGTTTTCTTACCTATTCAGACTTAAAATATCAAAACACTCAAGACACAAGCCTTTTTTTCTTCTGAAGCTTTGTAGGCGATATTATACTAGATTTTAGTGTTTTCACAGCTTAAAAATATCTTAACCATCTACTGTTTGGTCTTAAATTACTCTACAGAAAAAATACTACAATATTCTTACCTATTCGAACCGTTAACACATCAAAACACCCAAGATACCAGGCCTTTTCATCTCGAAACCACCAATACCTAGCCTTGTGGAGGGTTTACTAATAACAAGAAGGTGAAACAATCCGATTTGGGGGTAAATATACATTCTGACATTAAAAAATAATATTACTTTACTAAAGATACGCAAATTGTAAGATTAATAAGACCATGTGGTTGGAGAGGTTGGTGGATGTGGATTTAGGCGTTCGCTTACCCCAAGGATAATACCATTATATGTGATCTAAAGTCCTGAAAACGAAAAGACAGAGAAATACTTACTTTTAACGTCGAATTAGCTGCTTTTACTCTCTAACGAAACCTGACATTTTTAAACCAATAGTAAGGTAAGACCTACACTATTCTTTAAAAGTTTTACTGAACTAAAAGTTTAAAAATGGTTTCATTATAGCAAAAAAACATGTTTTTAGAGTTTAGAACAAAGAATATGTAGAATATTAAAGTAAAAGTAGTGAAATATAAACCGAGAACCTCAATATGGTTCAAAATATACAACCGCGTTGGTAAGAAATAAATCAAATGAAAATATTTTTTGGAGATTAAAATTCTCAAAAAATTAATCGAAAACATTGGAAAACCCGCGAAAAAATTTCGTTCAAAAAAATTCAATGAACGGTTCCTTTAAATTTGATTTAAAAATGGTTTGAAGGGTTAAATTTGATTAAAAACTGATATAAAATTTTATAAGATTTTATTTTAAAAAATTAGTTTTTTTAAAAATTGTACAAGACCTTGTATATTTAAAAACATGTTATTTCTTTACTTACCGTGATTTTGTGGCCTCCAAGTGCTCGTGGTAATAATCATCGGCAAAATTATGTAGTGGCCTACTAAGCGCCTTCTAAATACTTGATTTAAATAAAGAAAATTCAATTTTATTGGAAAGGGAAGCCCTAAATGGCAGTGTTGGTCACAGTTTATTACTGTTCTATCACTAATTTATCTATGGATACAAACAATATCTTAACCCTACCCTTTATATCTATTTTTATTGCGTTTTTTATCACTACTAACAGTTGTAACACTAAAGTTGGCTGCAAGAACTCGTATTTTATAATCAGACCAACGTGTTCTAGAAGAACAAATTATTTCTAAATGGTTTTCTAATAACTTTCAACTAATTTTTGTTTTTAAAAACTGTAAAACCTCAAGATAACATTCGATTTTAACCTACCTTTATTCTTCTCTTTGTTTCGCCAAACATCTCGACCACAACCCTCTGCCAAAGCGAAAGAAGACAAGGAAAGGGCAGCACGAGAAAGGGTGGATCTTGCGCTGACCACGCTCGTGGATGGCGCTCTAAAAAGCGCGTGCCTCATTTACCACCGGTCAGCGGACAGTTGGCCATTAACGCAGGGTTTGACACCAAAAGTCTCGGCATTATTAGAAACTATGGTAACTCAAAAACTGGATATTATCCTATGATTTGTTCTTAGATCAAGCTGCGATAAAGAAATCTAAGTACAAACTGTTAATAAGCAAAATTTATTTCGACTTGAATAACAATATTGATTTTTTCTCAAATTTTGCCAGTTACAAAATGAAAAACAGAATGATAAATTTATACGATTTAGTCGATGCTGACTGACAGAGTTAGTTAGCATTTGGTTTATGAAGCATTGTTTTGTCAGTCTCTGAATAGCTTTGATTCAAGTTTGGAAACACTAAAAAAATTAAATTAAAAATTGTGTTTAAGGTTGAGGGGTTGATATATAAGGCAAAAAAGAATGGATTCTTTAGGAGGAAGTTTAGAGTTATGACATGGCGTAAAGGACGGTCAGAACTAAGGCTACAGTACATTTTAGGGTAGTATTGCCTAAAGTATAATAGAACTTACAGTACGGTAATGGCTAAAAACGATATGGCTTGAAGGAGGAATAGGTGCTAGAGTACGATAGCATGAAAATTTAAAACAATACTTACTAGTTCGCTTGGATCTGTATATGCTCCTCTCTAGCTCTGCACTCGTTTTTGAACAATTCAGAAGCAGACTTGCTGTATTCTTTCGCCAGTTCTGTCTGTATATCTTGAACATTGAAGCGTTGCTTATTTTGGCGCATTTCGGGCGGTAGAAGCTCAGAAGCCACTTTTTCTGTTTTGTCTTTAATTACAAGGTTGTCAAAATTGGCTTTAGTTATGCCAGATAACAACAAAACGCTTTGTTCAAGCTTCGCAGCGTCTTGCTTCTGTTTTTTGTTAATATCAGCTAGCTTGTTGAGCTCTGATTGAGCTTTTTCCAATTCTTTCTTACATGTCGCAAGTTCAATGTCGGAGTCTTTAAGACAACTAATTTTGTCAATCATGTCCCTTATCATCCTTATTCTGTCGTTGTCAATCTTTTTGTGCTGTTCTACAGTTGTGTCGTACTTTTGCATCAAATGGTTTATTCTGAAAATTTTTTTTTGAATTGGTTGGTTTTTGAATAAACCATAGAAGTTAAATTGTAGAGGTACGGACAAGTTAGGGTATTGTAATTCGCAATATATTAAGACACAGAAAGAGTAGTGCTGGGGTAGAATAATGTAGAAGAAAGCTGTGTATAGTAGTGTTAAGGTAAGAGAAAGTAATGTTGCGTGATGAGGCGGACCCCTATGAACAAAAAGTAGACTTACAAGGAAAGTGCCCGACCTGCCGCGCTCTGATTGACTTCAAACTTTTTATGAATAAAGATCATGTAAATATAATATGTTCAGCAAAGTACTAAATCGCGTTTTCCAGGAAACCTCGAGAAAATCGAGATTAAAAAATGACATTTTGAAATTCCCGCCAAGTTGGCAATGTGTTTCAAGCTTATAACTTTGCCATTTTTAAACTTTTAGGAATTTTTCTTTGATATATTAGTAGAAAACCTTTAAATGAATTTACATTTTTAAATTTGTAAGCGTATTTTGTCTGGAAAGCCGAAAAAAGTGCTTGAAACACAATGCCAAGTTTGCCAAATTGGCGGAAACCCAACTGATTTAAATTTAAAACTCAAAAGCGCAAGCTAAATTTTTTATGGGTACAAATTTTTATGGTGGTACAAAAAATTCATATAAAAATTTTGAATTGATTCTGAGCGGGGCAGGTAGGGTACTTTTTTTGTTAGACTGTTTTCTTCTTGACAAATGAATCTTCTTGCACTAAAAGGACAAATTGAAAAATTTAGAACTTACAAGTCTTCCTTATCCTGAACCGTCTTTTCCATGGCTTTGTACGACTTTCTAAGATAATCGTTATCTTTCTCGGCTTCATTCAAACGCTCTTCTACAATTTTGATCTCTTTATCACATGATCTATTAACACGAGCTTTAATCGCTGTAATTATCAATGCCAGGTATGATGCTTTAACAAAAATTGGATATTCATTCCAGTACCAAACTGTAAAATAACATTGGCAACATGTTAGAAACAGTTGGTAGTACCATTTCTGCAATTTTTGTGGGTTATTTAATATCAATAGATTTTTTTACTACTGTAAATCTAAAAGTCAACAAATGGTTGCTTTTTAATATAATATTAGTTTTAAACAAAAAAAGACAATAACTTACAAGTGAGGACACATTTTTGCTCATTTTGTCAGCAAACTCCAAGAAAGTCAACCAGAAATACACAAACATGGCTCTACGTCGATAAAACCAAAAGGACTTAAGTTAGAGTGAGGTGAGACGTCGACGCGGACCACTTTGAGGTCAGCATCCAAAGAGGAATAGGCTTTGGCGCGTATGCGTGTCTTTTCTTACCCTCTTTAGCCAAAGCAATGTCTAAAAAGAATGGCACACACTTGATCCGAAAGAATACCTAATCAATAAATGTTTACCAGGTTTATAGTACATGCAAATATAACGATTTTCCAAGCCGTATACCTAATAAAATCGTCTTGTCTATATATATACCGGTCGTACTCTGTAGTACGTTGAGTATATAACGGTTTTTCGTGCCGTATATCTCATAAAAAAATCTGTCACCACCAATCATACTGTTCGTAACAGAAAGTATATGACGGTCGCTCAAGCCTTAAATCACGTTAAAATGTCATTTTGAGCATATGTTTGGCGTATATTTTGTCTTTCGTTCAACCTTCGTACTCTATAGTACGATGAGTATATAACGGTTGTCCAAGCCTTATATTTTGTAAAAAATATTCTGTCACTGCCAATCGTACATTATAGTACGTTGAGTATATAACGGTTTCTCAGGCCGTATATCTCGCTAAAATGTCATTTTGAGAGTATTTCTGATATATATTTTGACTTTCGTTCTATCGTACTTTATATTACTATCGTATTGTATAGTACGCTGAATATATAACGGTTGCTCAAGCCGTATATTTTTTAAAAATATTCTATCACTATCAATATTGGTCGTACTCTATAGTACGTTGAGTATATAACGGGTGTTGTTTAAGCCGTATATATTATAAAAATGCCATTTTGAGTGTATTTCTGACATATATCTTAGCTTTCGTTCTATCGTACTTTATAGTACGTTGAGTATAAACGGTTCCCCATGTCGAATATCTTGTTAAAATGTCATATTGAGAGTATTTTTGACATATATTTCGACTTTCGATCTGTATTCGTACTGTCAAATTCCTTTATACTGTCACTACCGCTGGTACTATGTAGTATGTCGAGTATATAACGGTTTTCAAGTCGTATATCTTATTATAAATGTCAGTCTGAGAGTATTTCTGACATATATTTGAAATTTCGTTTTGTATTCGTACTGACATTACCATTCGTAATATATAGTACGTTGAGTGAATATATAACGGTTGCCCAAGCCGCATCTCAATAAAAATGTCATTTTGAGGGTATTTCTGACATATATTTTGACATTCGTTCTGTAATCGCACTTTAAACCCTTTATATCCTGTCACTACCGTATAGTACGATGAGTATATAACGGTTTCCCTGACCGTATATCTCGTTATAATGTCATTTTGAGAGTATTTCTGACATATATTTTAACTTTCGTTCTGTATTCTTACTGTCAACTCGCTTTATACTGCGATTACTTCTCGTACTGTATAGTACGTTGAGTATATAACGGTTTCCCAAGCCGTATATCTCATTTTAAAAATTTGGCTTTCTTTCTGTAATCGCACTTTAAACCCTTTATATTCTGCCACTACCACTAGTACTATATAGTACTGTGAGTACGGTTGCTCAAGCCGTATACCTCACTTCAAAAATTAAAAACCGCCACCTCTCAACCTTCAAAAATATCAAATGGCATGCTTTTACTTTTTAATGGCTTCCTTTTTTCCGCACAAAAATTCAAAAATCAATGTTAACATTGCGCAACTTGGAGGGAGGTGACTAAAATAAAAACATAGAAAAATAATATGTTTTAGATCTTTACTGCGGAATCCCGATTTTACGCATTTCGTGAAAGAAGAAGACGCGAAAATCGAATTACCTTAGATTGAGCGTCGAGTTCGATAGTTTTGTCGAAGCGCTTATGCGTAATACCGTAACTGCGGTGCTATTACGAGTACGGGGCATGCCTCGCTGATATAAACCCTTGTTTGTCGGTGCAGCTACGACGTTTGTTTGTGCGTTTGGATAGCTGTGTAAAAGCGGTGATTTGCAAATCGCTTGTTGAGCATGCCATTTATATGGCGGAGCATGCGTTTGTATAATGCTGATGCATTTTAGCGCTGTGGGAGTGCTATTAAACGGTCTGGTCAACCGTATGAGTACTGTGGGAGTGTTCTGTAAGTATTATCTTACTATCGTACTGTGAGAGTATTATATATCATACGGAGTGGTTACTGTGAGAGTGCTATAGTGTAGGTGTATGTTTTAGCTATCGTACTGTGAGAGTACTATATATTACCGCTTTGGCAGCCGTTTGAGTAATGTGAGACTGCTCTGTAAGTATTAGCTTACTATCGTACTGTGAGAGTACTACATGTTATACGGAGTGGTTACCCGTACCAGTACTGTGAAAGTACTATAACATTCGGCTATGGCAACCGTTTGAGTACTGTGGAAGTACTTTTTGACTATTACTGTATTATAATGCTGGATGTTTTGTTTTAGTACTGTGAGAGTACGTGTGCTCATAACGGTTGTGCATTACATCGATGAGATTCCCACTTATTACTACGTTCTCCGGCTTCGGATAGTACGTTTATGCCTGTACGTTCCACGTACTTGCAGACTTTACCCCAGATTTGACTTTGCAAGTTGGTTTAAGTACTGGCTTGTTGTTGAATCCATACGATTGTATTGTATGGTTGATTGTCGGGGTGTACGGTCGTTGAGATATACGACTGTTTAACTTTGAATATAGTTTTTTGCTTTACTTGGTTTCTCAACTTATGTACGAGCGAATTATCAGATGTTATATACGGCTATGTATACATGGGGTTTGAGTTTTTGCTTTTACTTATTTTTTCAACTTATGTGCGAGCGAATTATCATATTTTATGTTATATATGTAGTAGCATTTACTTTTCTTTTAGTACTATTTTAAACTTATGTACGAACGAATTGCTATATTTTTATGTTATAAATATATGTATTAGGTGTTTGCAAAAGTTTCTGGCCGATTTTTCAAAAATTTTTTTTAAAATTTTGGACTGTTTTAGAACTTTCTGTTAACAACCTATATAAAGAGATGCCCAAGAACTAAAAACTATTGCATGTTAAAGCTTTCTGTTGTTTACGGTGGTATAAGAAATCAAGGTAAAACATGACCATGGTCGGACATGCTTCTCAAATTTCGCAAGCACGGCAACGCAACATGAGCGACGAATGAAATATGCAGTGTTGTAGGGCCTTTAGTTGTCTCTTACGGCACAGTAAAATTTTGGGTCCACAAGTTCAAAAACGGTGACTTTGACATGTCCGAAAAGTTCGATATGGTAGACCATCAGCGTTGAAGAAACCCCACCTTCTGAAGCTGACCGAAGAAGACCTGCGACGAACCTGTACTCATTTGACTGTAGAGCTTTAGTGTGACCCTTCTTCTACCATATTAATTAGACTTCAAGACCTTGGAAGATCATGGATTTTTAAATTTTAAATTTTGGTAAAAACAAAAATCGGCCAGAAACTTTCGCAAACACCTAATATAATAATACTATTTATATATGTATAATAATACTATTTATATGTATAATTATTATTTTTTTACTGTATTTCAAATATGTATGATTTATCGTGTACAAATTTTTTTCTTTTGTTGTTTTCTCTTCTGCACCCTACTATTCTAGTGGTAGCTCATGCAATGGCAATCGTTTGGCTAATGAAGATGGAAAGCCAAATCTTTGAACAAGTTCGGCAAAAGCGGAAAACTTATAAGACAACTTAATTTAAAAGTAAAAATAATAAAAAATAAATATTTTTAAATGGTGAAAGCTTATTACCTTTTGTCAATTTAAAAAAAAATCTTTAAAAAAAGAATTTTTATTATTAATCCAATAGTATTATATTTTTACAAACACTTTTTTTTATTTTATAAAATTTTTCTAATCTAACATTGTTTATTTATTTATTGTACTGTAAGTAAACAATCGTCATTAAACATAAAAACAAGTATTAACATATAGCAAATTTAATCACAATAAAAAAGGTATAGTCGTTTTTATATTATTCCAAATTTTCGCAATGCTGCGCTTCTTTGCTTTCCATCATCTTTGAATTTTTTTGTTTTCTTTTATGAGTAGAGCTATTAGTCCCAACTGGGTCTTGCTTTCTTGTTCAAGCTTGTGCTTTTCTAGTCTGTGCATGCGTAGGTCTTTATTGATTAGTCCAACGTAAGTTTTGCATATCTTTGAGATTTCACCCGACTTTTTGATTTCTTCTTTTTGCGCCTCTGTTTCTACATTTAGCTTTTCGACTTCTTCTTGATGTTTCTTCACTTTTTCCTTAAGCTCTTCACATTCCTCATGATTTTTCTTCATCTCTTCTTTAAGCTCGTCAACATTTTCCAAAGACTTTTTTAATTCTTGTTTTAGGTCGTCAGCTTCAGTCGATTTTTCCAAGAGTTTCTTGAGTACTACTTGGTATTTTTGGTCATCTATTGCAATCTGTTGTTTTTGAGCTTTTATTTCTTCTTTCAGTTTTTGTGTTAATATCTCATCAATGTTATCCGCTGCTCCAAATTCCTTTTCAACTTCCAGTATTTCGTTTTCTAAAACCTGTGCCATTTCCTTCCATTTTGCAATTTCTTCTTTATCGGCCTTTGCTTGTTTTTTTAGCCTCATCATTTCTGCATCATGATTAGGTGTTGCCTCTACCTTCATTTTTTCAAATTCTTCTTTTTGGGTGTTTGGTTCCGCTTTTAGCTTTTCAACTTCTTCTTGATGCTTCTTGACTTCTTCCTTAAGCTCTTCACATTCTTTATGATTTTTCTTTGCCTCTTCTTTAAGCTCATCAACATTTTTCAAAGTCTTTTTCAATTCTTGTTTCAGGTCATCAGCTTCAGACGATTTTTCCAAAAGTTTCTTGAGTACTTCTTGATATTTTTGGTCATTTAATTTCAATGTTGCAATCTGTTGTTTCTGAGCTTTTATTTCTTCTTCCATAAGAAATTCTTGTGCTACTGTAAAATCATTTGTCTTTATTAATTCTTTTTCGTATTTCTGTGCCGTTTCTTTCCATTTTCTAATTTCTTCTTTGTTGGCCTTGATTTCTTCTTTTAGCCTCTTCATTTCTTCATCATAATTTGCTTCCGCTATTAATTTTGCAATTAATTCTTCATTTTGTGTTGCCTGTACCTTCGTTTTTTCAACTTCTTCTTTTTTTGCTTTTGCTTCTTCTTTTAGCTTCATCATTTCCTCACCTATTTTTCCCAATTTTTCAAAATTCTGAAGTGTGTTCACTGTTTTAATGACATCTTTATAATGTTCTACCTCCGCCATCAATTCTTGAATTGATTCTTCATTGTCTTTTGCAACCAATTTTAGTTTTTCAATTTCTTCTTCCTTTTTTGTTGTTTCTATCTTCAGCGTTTCGATATCTTCTTCTTTTGTTTCTTCTCTTGTGCTTCGTTATCAAAAAACTCTAGAGGCAGTTCACCCAATGGCGCTCGTGCTGAATAATTTTTAAGGCCATGCTTTTGCTTGAGTTGATCAAGTTCGATAACTGTCCAGATGTGTTTTCTTTCAAGTTTCATGATTCTGAAATTATCAATATTTAAATATTTTTTGGAAAGTGTTGCTTTATAGGAAGAAGTTTTTTAAAATTTTTAAAAAGCGGAACATTTAAAAAATGTAGGAAAGCTTAAGGGACAGAAGGCATATTTATAAAATAAATGCAGTGGAACTCCTGTACAACGAACTGATCTATAACGAACAAATTTCAAGTTTCCGAGCGATTTGTTATACAGGAGTTCCACTGTATGCTTATGATAATTTGAAAAACTTACAAAGATTCTTTAGCTCGTAGCTTGTTGTCATATTCTCTTGATGCACGGCACTCTTTATCGAATTTTTCACGGTAATCCTTTAATTCAGCGTCCAGTTTTTTCACCTTTTCTTGATGCTTCTCTGCTTCTTCTTTATATTTATTACATTCTTCCTGATGTTTCTTCTCTACTTCATTCCGTTTTTGAACTGTTTCTTGGTTCGCTTCCTGTTTCAGTTTTTCAATGGCACATTTAAGCTTTTGGTTTTCGCATCTCAGTTTTTCGTTCTCGCTCCAGTTTTTTACAATCAAGCTCCTTTGTGACATAAACATTTGTTTTTGACAATGCAGGTCTTTCAAACTCACTTGCAATCTGTTCTTGAAATCATCGGCTTCTGATACCTTTGATTCAAAATTTTTTTGAAGTTCTGCTAATGACTTTGAAAGCTTTGCGTTATCTTCTGTTAAGTGTCGTAAAGCTTTGTCTTTTTGTTGAATGGTTTCTTCAAGCATTTTTTCTGTTATTCTCAGTTCCAGCTTTTCTTCCCCAGTTTTTAATTCTTCTGTCGTTTCTTTGATGCGTTCATGGAGCGAGGTTGGTCGAGTGTCTGCAGTTTTAATGGCTTTCCCAACTTTTGTGACGTTTTCAACCGCTTTTTTGGTACTGAAAATTTTTTTTTGTAATAATTTTAATAAAAAAATTAATTTTGTATGTTTAGAATGTAGGGTCAGGAACGATAATAATAATGGACTGGAGTTTTTGACTGGAACTAAGGCTATAGGCTATTCGCTTTTTTGCAAAAATAGTAGCTTTTTATTAGTTTTCAAATTTTATTTTAAAAACAATTTTTTGATTTTTCGGCGGCGTGGTGAATTTTAGAGTTGGTAGTTAATGATTTTCGGATATCGTATGGCAGATCAAGGGCTAGGGCTACGTCTAGAGGAAGAACTAGAGCTAAAACAATCGATTTAGGATTCAAACAAGCCCCGGCTAAAGCTTAGACAAGGATTAGGGCTAAGGCTAGGAGAAAAGCTAGAAATACAGCTTCTGCTAGACCTAGGGCTAGGGCTTAGGCTAGGGCTTAGGCTAGGGCTTAGGCTAGGGCTTAGGCTAGGGCTTAGGCTAGGGCTTAGGCTAGGGCTTAGGCTAAGGCTTAGGCTAGGGCTTAGGCTAAGGCTTAGGCTAGGGCTTAGGCTAGGGCTTAGGCTAGGGCTTAGGCTAGGGCTTAGGCTAGGGCTTAGGCTAGGGCTTAGGCTAGGGCTTAGGCTAGGGCTTAGGCTAGGGCTTAGGCTAGGGCTTAGGCTAGGGCTAGGGCTTGGGCTTGGGCTTGGGCTAGGGCTTGGGCTAGGGCTTAGGCTTAGGCTAGGGCTTAGGCTAGGGCTTAGGCTAGGGCTTAGGCTAGGGCTTAGGCTAGGGCTTAGGCTAGGACTGAGGCTATGACTTAGGCTAGGGCTTACAAGGGAATGTTACAAACTACTCCACGCCAATTATAAAACGAGTTATACCGTTGGAAAGAGCGTCAAAAATTAGTCTAGAATCAGCTTTTTTTAGCTGCCGAAACTATATGGCACGGCATATATTAGCGATCAAAGGATTTACATAGGGTTTTCTATTTGACTCTTCTCATTCGTCTTGAGCAAAACGAATGGATCGAAGCTACGATCCAGTGTGGTGGAGTGGTTAACAAGTTAGTCTGGGGTAAAAGGCGGGGAGTTCGAATCCCGTCGATTTCATTTTGGCGCCCAGCCATCATGACAAGAAGTTTTGGCTAGCCAAACAATATTTTGGTTAAACAAATATTTTTTAAGTTCTATTTTTTGCTTTTAGTCACTTTTAGAAAAAAATATTTATCAAAAAATAGTATTTTTTGAACTTTAAAGGTATACCTTTTAAACATATAATTATATATAACGAGGTGTAGCTGCCGTGCCACATGGTTTCGGAAGCTAATAAAAGTTGATTCTAGACTACTTTTTAACGCTCTTTCCAACGGTATAACTCGTTTTATAATTGGCGTAGAGTAGTTTGTAACATTCTCTTGTTAGGCTAGGGCTTAGGCTTAGGCTAGGGCTTAGGCTTAGGCTAGGGCTTAGGCTAGGGCTTAGGCTAGGGCTTAGGCTAGGGCTTAGGCTAGGGCTTAGGCTAGGGCTTAGGCTAGGGCTTAGGCTAGGGCTTAGGCTAGGGCTTAGGCTAGGGCTTAGGCTAGGGCTTAGGCTAGGGCTTAGGCTTGGGCTTAGGCTAGGGCTTAGGCTAGGGCTTAGGCTAGGGCTTAGGCTAGGGCTTAGGCTAGGGCTTAGGCTAGGGCTTAGGCTAGGGCTTAGGCTAGGGCTTAGGCTAGGGCTTAGGCTAGGGCTTAGGCTAGGGCTTAGGCTAGGGCTTAGGCTAGGGCTTAGGCTAGGGCTTAGGCTAGGGCTTAGGCTAGGGCTTAGGCTAGGGCTTAGGCTAGGGCTTAGGCTAGGGCTTAGGCTAGGGCTTAGGCTAGGGCTTAGGCTAGGGCTTAGGCTAGGGCTTAGGCTAGGGCTTAGGCTAGGGCTTAGGCTAGGGCTTAGGCTAGGGCTTAGGCTAGGGCTTAGGCTAGGGCTTAGGCTAGGGCTTAGGCTAGGGCTTAGGCTAGGGCTTAGGCTAGGGCTTAGGCTAGGGCTTAGGCTAGGGCTTAGGCTAGGGCTTAGGCTATGGCTTAGGCTATGGCTTAGGCTATGGCTTAGGCTATGGCTTAGGCTATGGCTTAGGCTATGGCTTAGGCTAGGGCTTAGGCTAGGGCTTAGGCTAGGGCTTAGGCTATGGCTTAGGCTATGGCTTAGGCTATGGCTTAGGCTAGGGCTTAGGCTAGGGCTTAGGCTAGGGCTTAGGCTAGGGCTTAGGCTAGGGCTTAGGCTAGGGCTTAGGCTAGGGCTTAGGCTAGGGCTTAGGCTAGGGCTTAGGCTAGGGCTTAAGCTTAGGCTAGGGCTAGGTCTTAGGCTAGGTCTTAGGCTAGGGCTTAGGCTATGGCTTAGGCTATGGCTTAGGCTATGGCTTAGGCTATGGCTTAGGCTATGGCTTAGGCTATGGCTTAGGCTATGGCTTAGGCTATGGCTTAGGCTAGGGCTTAGGCTATGGCTCAATCTATGGTTTAGGCTATGGCTTAGACTATAGCTCTGGCTAGGCTAAAGCCTGGGACTTGACTATGGCGTTTTTTGCAGGCTAGAGTTACGGCTAACGACTTAGGGCTGAGGTTAAAGCCAGATTATATATATTATGACTAAAGCCATAGCTACGGACGGGGGTACTTTTAATTCAAAGATAGTTTGCAGCTGTTTAAATTTGTTGTTTACTTTAATTTCTTGTTTTTAATTTGAAATTACTCTTTTAAAATGTATCACTTACCCTTCTTCCTTCTCATTGGGCTGGTCTGTCAATTCGTTCTTTTCTTTCTCTTTCGCTCCTCCATCTTCTACTTTATTCAAGTATCGTCTTAAACCAATAAATATGAAGAACGCTAAAACAAAGTTGAAAATGGTATCGTAAATTGTTTTTTCAGTCGATTCCACATACTCCAACACGCTTTCTATAATCCAGGCCGTCTGAAATGCAAAAAAAAATTAATTTTTGTAAAAAATCAGGTAAAGGGATAAAACATGTTTACAAATTGTCACTAGGGAGCAGATACCAATCCTCCGTCAAAAAAGTTTTAAGAGGTTATGTGTACGCAAGGGAAGTTGTTTGGAGAGGGGGGGGTGTGGCTCAGGGTACGTGATACTGTTTTTTAGTTTTAATAAGGCATTTAATTACTCATAGGCTGATGTTTTTATAGATTCACAGGCTGAAATCACCTCGGCACTGGCAAACAGGGGCGAGTGGGGACTTTTAGTCTGGGGCGGGGGTCGTAAAAATCGGCTCAGGTGCTACCTATGCCGATTTTTTGGGATATGTTTTTTTCCAAAAATTCACAGGAGAGCCAAGTTGAACTTTTTTCGAAAAATTTTTTTTTGGGCAGGAGTCCCCAGCGCTCTGCTGGCAAAAATATAATTGCATTTTAAAGAGTACATAGAACATTACAACTTACCAAACACCATTTACAAAAGTTTAACAAGTGTTTTATCCACTTTGACCATTCCATTTTAAAGAAAAAGGCGATAGCAAGAATAACGAGGTATTAGCAAAAACCGTCGTATGAATGGAAAGTCACTTGCACACTCAGGGTTCGATATACGGAATGAAGACTGACCAGCCAGCCAGATGGACATTGCGCGACATTCAGGGTCAGCTTCGCTTTGGCAAAACCCCACCTCCTTCTTACATTAAGCTACACCTCTTGGAGCTACACTTTTGCTCTCTTTGTAGTTTCTTACCGAAGTTGAAATAGTTACGTAAATAATTGGGCTAGGACTAAGAATAAGAAGTCTTATGGCTAGGTCTATATCTAGGGTTAGATCTAGGGCTAGAACTCAGGGTAAGACTTTGTATAGGGCCAAAGTTAGGGCTATTATGATATGCTAGGGCTAGGACTAGCGTTACGACAAAAGCTAGAACTAGGGCTCTGACTAGAACTTTGACTAAGACTATGACTTTGGCTCTAGCTGGGGCTCTGGTGAGGACTTGGGTTTTGGATAAGGCTGTGATTATCGCTAGAACTTTGGTCACGGTTTTGGCTAGAGTTTGGGCTAGGGCTCATTGACTCTTCTTTTTCTAGTTGTGTTACATTTGCTTAAGTCTTTGTAACTTAAAGGCAAAGCATTTGTGTATATATATTTGGTACCTTTTAGATTATTCTTCAAAATTTTAAAATTCAGAAGTTTGTATGAACGCTAACTGTCAAACGATCAAGAAAAAACGAACGCACCCAACAATCCGATAATATCTGTGACACTTCGTTTCAAAAAGTGGCTTTACGCCGAAACACATTTTCTTTATTTTCCACGCGTTAAATCTTGTAAAATATTGAAAGCCAATAAAAAAGTAAGTTTATCAGTAATCTTTATTTATTTTTGGGTATAGATTTTAATGTCCGAAGGACAAGTCAATATCAATATCGATTTGGACGCGGTGGCGGCGATTCAACAACGAATTTTGGAAGGTAAACCAACGTTAAACGAACCAAATGCAAGGAATCTTCATCCACAACAGCCCAGGGCATTGGCTAGTCAAGAAAACTTGAGGAAATTACCGGAAACAGCTTTGACAACTGAAAATGTTCAAAAAGCGGGTTTGGCGCATGGTGAAGATAAAAAACCGGAGTCTACTGACAATGCTGGACGTGTAGAGGCTTCTGTTGGTGAAAGAGAAGTTAAACAAGAATCTGCTGAAGCTTCAGCAGGTAATCAGGGTCAGAATCAACAGAATTCTACACCACAAATACCTCAAAACGTCTCAGGAACGCCTACGGATACACGAAGATCGTCTTTGGCGTCAAATTCAGGTGGAGCTCGAAAACATAAAGGTGGATATAAAGCAAAACGTGTGTTTAAGGTAAGGTTTTTACTGTTTTTGTTATTGTTTAACTTTTAGGCGTGGAAATGTTATTTTAAAGGTATGAAAAAACAAGATTGGTGAAGGTATACCTATTTTCAGGTGATTATTATTGGCGATGCTGGTGTTGGCAAGACATGTTTGTCGTTCCGGTTTTGTAACAATAGGTTTCCACAACAAACTGAAGCTACAATTGGTGTAGATTTCAGAGAACGAACGTTGCATATGGAAGGAGAATTGGTTCGAGTTCAGGTAGGATATTACACTTGATAGGAACTTGGATGAATTTGTTGATTATGCTTTAGCGTTGTAACTATAAGTTTTTTATTATTGTAGAGCATGTTTTGGAGTAACTTTTTGTGAACTTTGGCATTTATTGGTAAAATATTTAGGAAGATATGAGGACGTGAATTTGATATTGTAGTACTTTTTCCTTGATGAAAAACACTAAATTCTAAAAACTACACTCGTTATTTCATAGTAAGACGTTTTAGCTTTTATCTTAAATATTTTGGAATGCAATTTTTGTAAAATACGACATTTTTACGTATTAATTTATATTGTTTTAGCTCTGGGACACAGCGGGTCAAGAAAGATATCGCCAATCGATTGTGGCCCATTATTACCGCAATGTGAACGCTGTGGTGTTTGTGTATGATGTTAACAATATGAAAACATTTAAATCGCTGCCATTATGGATTAACGAGTGCAAGAAACATGGTGTGACATCAGATGAAGTGCCTCATATTCTGATTGGAAACAAGGTTGATTTGTCGACGCCGAATCGGGTCAAAACGGATGAAGCTCAGGTTGGTATATTGTTTAAAATGAGTATAATAATGTGGTTTTATGGTTGCGAAGTTTTTAAGTGATTTGGAATGCCATGGACATTGTAAATTAGGATTTTTATGTTGTAGTAGGTATTTGAATGGGAAAATGGTTTTTGTTTTTCTTCGGTTTTTTTTTGATTAAACTGTTTATTTTTGAATTTTGCGGTTAAAAACTAAATTTTTAGGTATTTGCGGACCAAAATGACATGGCATTGTTCGAGACTTCAGCTTTATCACAATCAGAAGCCGATCATGTTGAAGCCATTTTCATGACACTGGTTCACAAACTTCAACAATGCAAGCCAATGCACGTACAATCCGAAACCGAACGTCATCAGAGAGAAGAGAAACTGCTTCTGAAGGCTTCGGATCTTCAAGCGGCTCCGGAAGCCGAAGGATGGTGTTGTTGAGCTTAAAGAATGATGTTGTTATTCTTAAATAATGATGCTGTTCATCTCTGAGAAATGGTGGTTCAATGTCATTTTTAATGTTTAGCTGAACATATAATCTGCTTTTAGTTAAAAATGTCATTTCTAATGTAAAATCTAAAAAAAATTGGCATTTAATGCCACTCTTTATGTGATACTGTTTACTAGCCAAATACTGTATAGCTATTGTATACATCTATATGCTTAAAACTAGCGTAGTAACTCAGTTATATTGTCTGTGATTTATTATTGTAAATAGCCTCGATTATCTAGCCAAATATGATTACGGTTATAGTGCAATTATTTATACGAATAAATTGATAACTATGTTGTAGTAGGTTCATTGGGTTATACAGAAATGTTTATTCTACAATACAAGGCTTATTCTTTACGATATCACAGTATGGTGTAGTAAAAAGGCTAGCTATCATTTACTCAATTCGATGTTTTCACTCAGCCTGAGCCAACCACACCGGGAACACCTCGACCGTGCCATTGTTCGGGTTCACAAACGAGTAGATCTCATAGTACTCCAACAGCTTCTGAAGCGACGTGAACGATGCGCTACTGCACTTGCCCGGCAACTTGACAACCCATTTGGTTTCACGGCATCTGAAGCCGGTTTCCTCGAACGTCTGGACTGGGAAACTGTACATTTTGTTGCCACCGTCCTTGTAGGCCAGGCACAATGGCAGCTGGAACGGTATCTCGCCGGGGATGCGGGACTTGACGTCGGTACGGTAGTAGATCATGAACTGGGTTGGATTCAGGATCCGCTTCATCTCGGTCAGGCTACGTTGACCCGCAAACTTTTTGTTCATGAACGCGGTCTCGGCTTCGGCTGCATCGTACGATGTGATATTGTTGTCGTCGTCCCACAGCGATGAGGAGGAGGAGGATACTGTAAGGAAGAGTAAGGTAGCAAAAGGCAAAGTAGAGTAAAAAAAGTACGGTATGGCCTAGGGTACGGTAGGGCCTAGGGTACGGTAAGGCTTAGGGTACGGTAGGGCCTAGGGTACGGTAAGGCTTAGGGTACGGTAGGGCATAGGATGCGGAAGGTCTCAGGGTACGGTAGGGCTTTAGGCACTACAGGTCTTAGGGTATGGTATACAAGTAAAGCAGGGTAGAGTGGGTTAAGTCACAAAAAGTTACTTACCCCCATCACTCAAAGACTGGCTTGATCTCTGGCTACGATCAGTTACTGTACCATCATAAGTGGTCAGACCTCTACTCAGCGAACTTCTAGCATTCGTATCAGGCCTTTGCTTCGACTTGTCCTTAGATTTGTGTTTGGAGCGGCGTTTTTTCTCCTTTTTGCGTCGACGACGTTCTTCGTTCCTCTCACGGGCGGCCTCAAGGCAATTAGTTTAAAACTTTAATTTTTAAAGCTTGTAAAGAAAGTTCTTGCTATTTTACGTTTTGTAAAAAAAGTTCTTGTCATTTTTTGATTTGTAAAGAAAGTTGTTGCAATTTTAAGTTTTGTAAAGAAAGTTTTTGCAATTTTATAGTATGTAAAGAAAGTTCTTGCCATTTTTTGTTACGTAAAAAAAGTTCTTGCAATTTTAAGTTTTGTAAACAAAGTTCTTGCCATTTTAAACTAAAAACAATTTTAAATTTTAAAAAACTTACAGTAGCCTTTTTCTGCTCTTCCTTGTGAATCCGACGGATTCGTTCGATGCTTTGAGGTGAAGGCAGCCGAGCAACGGAATCGTACGATTTATTACTAGAAATGACAAAGTTTAAAAGACATTTTTCGAAATTTGAAAAAAAAATTTGCAGAATTTTGAAATTTTAGGCAATATAATAATTTTTTTTAAAATTTTAACATTTTGCTGTTTTACATTGTAAAAAAGTGAAAAAAATTGTTATTTTTGTTGGAATTTGGCTATACCTTTACTTTTTTGGTCATATATTTGGAGCTCTGTCAGTTTTTAAAAACTTTGGTGGCAGAATATGTAAAAGCACATTCTATTTACCATGTAAACTTACTTCTTCAAAGATTCGGTAGATGACATGATTGACAATCCGTGACGATTTCCTCGAAAACACCGACCAATTTTTGAAAGAAAACCGACTAACGCTGGGAAATGAAATAGCTTGAAATGTAATTTAAAATGAATTTTTGAGAAAATAAAAAATTTTAAAGTGGCAAAAAATTGAAATGTTTTTTTTGATATGGTAGGGTACAGCCAGGGCCGGGTGGACACTTTTGTTCCGGGAGGGGGGGGGGGGCTTTGAAAAAATCAAGAAAAATTGCAAAGGAGGGACCACGTTCAAATTTTTTCAAAAATTTTTTTTGTTTGGTGGTGGAGGGGAAGGGAGAACGAGGAGGGGGGGGAGGGGAGTGGGAACACCGATCTTGATTACTGTATCACTTGTAAGGCACTGAAGAGTAGGATAAGATGGTAGGGTGGAGTAAGCAGGGCCTAGGTTATGATAGTGCCTAGGGTATTGTAGAGTTTAGCAGGGTAATTTAAAGTAGGGTAAGGTGGTTTAGGGTAGTGTAGGATAGGGTAGGTTAGGGTAGAGTAGGGAAGGGCAGGGTAGGGTAGGGTAGGGTAGGGTAGGGTAGGGTAGGGTAGGGTAGGGTAGGGTAGGGTAGGGTAGGGTAGGGTAAAGTAGGGTAGGGTAGGGTAGGGTAGGGTAGGATATGGTACGGGAAGGTATAGTAGGGTATGGTACGGTAGGGTATGATAAGATAAAGCTTAGGGTAACTTTTTCACTTTGTATTCACAATTTTCTTATTTTTGAAAATTTAATTTTGTCTTTCCGAAACCAGTGTCGTACGACCAAATGACCTTTATTTTAGTTTTATGGGGTTTTATACGCGACGATGATTTATCCGATTGATAACGGCATGGAACGGGGAGTTTGGGAACCTTTTTCAAGTTACTTGTCGCTTCCTTCGGTCGGGCATACTTCTGGGGGTTGTTTATTTTTATAATTTTGTGTAGGGTAGAGTAGTGTGAACTGGAGTAAATTTCAGTATGGAGTGAGATAGGTTGCAAAGTAGGGTTAGGTGATTTAGTAAGTATGGTTGGTAGGATAGGTTGAATTGGGATAGGATAAAGTAGGGTACGGTGGGTAACTTTACGAATACGATTTTTGTTATTATAAACAAATCCATATTTTGATTACTTTTTTTTAATTTCTATGCAGTTCTTAGTACTATTGACTATAATTTGCTCTACTGTACTAAGAAAAGTTCCCATAGATAATTAAAATTTACTTTATAAGGAATTTTTTTTTGAAATTTTGTGGTTTGATAGAGCAAAAGATAGAGCATGGAAAAGCCTAGAGTATCGTAAATAGAGCCGGGCGACAACGTTTGGTCTGAGGGCGGGGGTTAAAATATTTTTTTTTTAAAATCCACAGGGGGAACAAGTTCAACTTTTTTCCAAAATTTTCTGCTTATTCCCCTTCCCTCCTCCCCCCCCCCTCCTTAAATACCTCTGTAAAACCAAATCTTATTTAAAGAAAACACCCCCGCTTTTTGAACGAGCGAACGGTTTGAGCACAGTTTTAATCTCGCTTCATCGTTACCAATTTTATTCGACTTGATTAATGACTTTTCATAATCGGCATTCATTCCCCGTTTTCCAATTGGAATCAATTCCAAATTTTCGAACCGCGGTTTGTAATTTCGCAAAAATAACTTTATTTTATTGTACTTAAAATGGTGATTAAACTTTTCAAAGATATTTTTTAAAGAGCATTCAAGGCATGGTGAATTTTTTAAATTACAGTTGGCAAGTTAGAGGCTTGTTGCTATCGTAAGACAGGGGTTAGGGAATGGTCTAGAGGAACGACTAGGGCTAAATCTGAGGCTAGGGCTTAGACTGGGTGTAAAGCTACAACTACACTTTATGCTATAGCAAGTAAAGGGGCTAAGCAATGTCAGAGATAGGGCTAGGGCCGGACACTGACTCAGAGCCGTGGACGGAGTAGGACTAAGGCTTAGCCTGGGGCTTAGGCTAGGGCTTAGGCTGGGGCTTAGGCTGGGGCTTAGGCTACGGCTTAGGCTAGGGCTTAAGCTAAAGATTAGGCTAGGACTAGGGCTTAGGCTAAGGCTAAGGCTAAGGCTAAGGCTAAGGCTAAGGCTAAGGCTAAGGCTAGGGCTTAGGCTAGGGCTAGGGCTTAGACTAGGGCTTAGGCGAGGGTTTACGCTAGGGCTTAGGCTAGGGCTTAGATTTAGGCTAAGGCTTAGGCTAGGACTTAAGTTAAGGCTTAAGCTAATGCTTAGGCTAGGGCTTAGGCTAGGGCTTAGGCTAGGGCTTAGGCTAGGGCTTAGGCTAGGGCTTAGGCTAGGGCTTAGGCTAGGGCTTAGGCTAGGGCTTAGGCTAGGGCTTAGGCTAGGGCTTAGGCTAGGGCTTAGGCTAGGGCTTAGGCTAGGGCTTAGGCTAGAGCTTAGGCTAGGGTTTAGGCTAGGACTAGACTAAAAACTAGGTAAAAATCATGTTTATAGAAGGTGAAAACAGTCTTTTCGCCTCATAAACTCGGCTTTTTTCCACCGTGAATGCAGCAATAAAGTCATAAAAAGCGACACAACGTCTCTACTTTGTTGCTCATTGTAACGGAAACGGACGGTTAAAATAATATTATATTGTGGTTGGACTGTTTAAAACAGTTTTTTTTTTTGTGCGAACACGATCGTTTTTACAATTTGCGAGTTTGGGCTTTAAACTTTTTATAAATTTGCGGTTTAATCAACGTTCCTTCACAAGAAATGATACTTTTGGGGGAATAAAAGTTGTTTTGTTAGTTTAAATTTTGGGTTTTAAACTATGTTTTAAGAATTTGTGTTGCCTAGCCTTAGCTCTACCCTCAGCTCTGACAATAGGCTTATCATTTAGTTTTGTCGTTAGTTCTAGTTCTAGTCCTATTCTTCGCTATGCCATAGGCTTCCTTAAAGCTATATCACTAGCTTTAACCTCGACCCTAGTTCTAATGATAGTCTTAGCTTTAACTTGAGCTTAAGCTCTAGTCTAAGCCCTAGCCTTAGCCTTAGCTTTGGCTTTTGCCTTAGCTTAAGCCCTAGCGTACGTCCTAGCCTAAACCTTAGCCATAGTCTCGTTCTCTTAGCCTATTGGTCTGCCTTACGATAACACAAAGCCCTTTCCAACAAATTAGGAGTGAAGATAAGGCTAAAGCCAGTAATTGTTCATAACTGACTTTAGCCTTATCTTTACGAATGTTAAAATACAGCAGCGCTTACAACAAGTTAAGGTAGATATCATCAGACTGACTTTACATTATCACGTTCTTAACTTTTTCACAACAATATTACTCATTCTCTATTACTCCCTCTCTTTACAAATTCCTTAAAAAACGTCTTTTTTTCTGTATATTCCCCGTAACAATAAGTCGATGAACGTTTGTTTCCGTAAAAGGCTTCGAACGTGATCGTCTTGACGTCTCGACCGCAAGAACCGAGTAGTCAAAGAGAGGATTCCGCGCATTATATTCATTGCATAATAAGAAAATTATTTATACAAACGTCCTTTGGGTGAAATTCTCGTCTCCAAGGTCATCCTCTCGACTCTTGTTTTATTGCTTAAGCGGGAAGGGAGCGGGAGAGGAGAAATGGTAAAGAAGAAAGAAGGGGGGGGAGGATTGTGACAACGAAGGGCTGGGAATGGTGAAGAAGGAAGCGGGGGATGGTGAAGAAGAGGGGGGGGAGAAGAAAGGGAGGGGGATGGTGAAGAAGAAAGGGGGGGGTGTGATTCGCTGATCACCACCACCTTAAGAAACTGAAAAAAAGTGTTGACACGTTACGTTTTTATGTTTCCTGTTGAGAAAATTCTATTCAGTGGTTTCATCGTGGGTTTTGATGATGTTTGTTGGTGATATATGACTATGATATTAACATAGGTACTTATGAATAGCATATTTTAAGTCATTTTTTCATTATTTACTACTTGTTTTTTTTAAATGACAAAAACCTTCTTTACAAAACATAAAAGGACAAGAACTTCCTTTACAAATCAAAAAATGGCAAGAACTTTCTTTACAGTACATAAAAAAACAAGAACTTTCTATACAAAACAGAAATGGCAAAAACTTTCTTTACAAAACAAAAAATGGCAAGAAATTTCTTTACAAGCCAAAAAAATTGTAAACTACGAGTGGACGCGTGATCACTAAAGTACAATTTTTTTTTAAAACCATTCTTTTGGAACTTGAGAAAAAGTAAAATGAGTTCGAGTTCATAATGCGTTCATTAACCCTTAAAAATCACGTGAAGCTTCGAAATTTAGTTTGTTTTTTTCTTATATGTTAGATGTAAGAAGTGAGTAACTATATAGGTAGTAGTTACTCACTTTGTTTCAGTCTTTTTCGATTTGGTTTTTATACTTTTACTCTTTTTGCTTCTGCAATACCCTACCCTACCCTACCCTACCCTACCCTACCCTACTCTACCCTACTCTACCCTACCCTAATTTACACTACCCTAATTTACCCTACCCTCTCCTAGTTTACCATGTCTTACCTTACCTACATTACCCTGTACTGCCTATTCTTAGTATACCTTGTCCTACGTTATTGGCCTTACCCTCTCCATCGCTTCTTCTACCTCTTCCTAGAACATTTGTAAAGATTTTCATCGTATAACTTGTCCCGCGCAGTCTGCGAAACGCTATTTTCCATACTATATCAAGCTACTTTACAATTTATAAAAAAATTTTTACTTTACCGTGCATTACCCTACCTAATATTACCTATTTTTTCCCTTATTCCACCCAACCCTACCCAACCTTATCTTACTTTACCTTGTTTCACCTCAGTTTATTGTACCCTGACCTTGCGAGTTTTTTTTTCTATCTAGGCCAGTTTAAACAATTTTATCGTATAACTTGTCCCACGCAAGCTGCAAACTTCATTTTTTCAATTTTCCTTTTTTACTTTAGCTGCAATTTCTTTTTTCAAATACAAAAACTTTTTTCCTTACCAAATTTTCACGTTAACAACATTAAACACCCTTTTTTTCGTTTCTCCTTCCGTTTCCATCTTACCCAACCCTCCCTACCTTCCTTCAGTCAACGTTAGTTGAATTGGCTTCAAAATTACCTTTATTACTTTATTTACCCGTGTTTGCAGTTCCAAATCCCCTCCACCCCACCTGACCCTGCCCGCTTTATCTGATGGGTTGTAAAATTCAGTCAATATTGTGCAGATTAGGGCGATGATATCGAATAAGCGGCGGTTATTTTTTTACCTAAAAAAACAAAAACCGCTGCGTTGTGAAAAAACTATTATAGGTATTGAAGGGTTCGCCAGAAGATTTTACGTGTTTTTGTAAAACAATGATAGAAAATGGGTGATTTTTGGGTAGGCATGACAGAGCTGCAGCATGTAGCGTTTTTTGGTAGTGGTGGGGCAGTGAGGTAGGGAGGGGGAGCGTAATGAAGTAGGGAAGGAGGAAGTAATGTGGTAAGGAGATGTACGGGGTGGGGTAATGAGTTAAGAAGGGTGGGGGAAGGAGAACGAAGTAGGAAGGTGGAGGGAGGTAATGATGTAAGGTGGGGAAGGAGGGTAAGACAAGTTAGGGGGATAGCCAAGCCGGGTAATACACTACCAAAAAAAATCTATTTTAGTGGGTTTTCGTGGGTAGGGTAATTTGTAAAGTAGGGTAGAGTTTCAGTTTTTTGTGGCCGGGGTAGAAAATTGATAACTTTTGTGGATGAAAGCTGGGTTTTTTTATGTCAAAATCGTTTTGTTTTGGGTTGGGGCGACTTTCTGTTAGGGTAGAGCCTGACAACAATGCTGCTACCGTTGCCTATACCCATACTTTTATTTCTACCCCTAACTATGTCCCTAACCCTAGTTATACCCTACCTCTACCCCTGCTTTTATCCCTACCTCTACCTGTGCCCCCACCTCTGTCTATACTTCTATTTCTGCCCCTACTATACCGCTACCTCTAACCCTTTTACTACCCATAACTATATGGGTAGTAATAGGGGTAAGGGTATTGGTAGGGGTAGAAATAGGGGCATAAGTAAAAGTAGGAATAAGTATAGGATAAGGACAGGGGTAAGGGGTAGATGTAGGGTAGTGAAGCTTAAAATACAGTAATATTTTGTCGTTTTTTATTTTATTTTTTCTAAAATCCGCGAACTACAGGCCTCAAAACCATTACGAAAAATAAAAAAATTTCTTTCAGAACCCAAAAACCGACCGACATTCAATGTCAGTGCCATTGTGTCGTTGTCGTGTACTGTACATTGGTAGTGCAGTACCAACAATCACAAAAGATGGCCTTCAAGGCATCCAACAACCATTAAAAGAGAAATATATTGGAGAGAACGGTCAAGAATTAAAGGGAATCGACGCTTGGTTATCCGTTTGGTCCAATGGCATACTATTGGAGTATGTGGATGGTACTAAGACTGTGGAACACGCGTTCTATCCTATTCAGAGCTTACATTACTGCGCGGCTGTTAGATATGTTCAGGTAAGTCGGGAATTTCTTAAAATTGCAGAAACTTTGTTCACAAGGCATACAACAGCAAGAACTTTCTTTACAAAACAAAAAATTGCAAGAACTTTCTTCACAACTCATAAAATGGCAAGAACTTTTTTTCAAAATTTCAATTTTCAGGTAAACGCTTTCACCCTAGAAGCCCAAGGCCGTTTCCTCCCCCTCGACGCTCCTATGGCTCAACACCATGCCAATCCCAACAACCCTTCCCATCCTCCTCTATTCGCTGCCATTTTCCGTCGACAAACCGGAGTCAAAGTACTCGAATGTCACGGTTTCATATGCACAAGTGAACATGCTGCCAATTCGCTAGTACGATGCTGTTTCCATTCATACGCCGACACAACATACATGAGATTAAATGACAAACGTGATAAGAACAGAAGCCGAAGCGAATCGCCAATTGAAAGTGAACAACAAGCCAGCGAAATGGAACCATTACAAGATGAAGGACCAAAGGAGGATCAGGAATGGCAAGACAGAGCTATCGATCGAAAGACTTGGCAATGGAGACAAAAGAGCGGCGAGTATGACACTAGCAGCATGGTATCGTCATTGTATGTGAAGAAGAGTCCAAAGAAGGGCAAAAAGACTGATACACAAAGCGAGGTTTATGAGCATGGTAAGTCGTTTAGAATATGAAAATAAATTGAAATTGAAGTAGTTTAGAAAAAATAAAGGTGGACAAAGCGTAAATGAGCTGTTTGATGTAGATTTGACTATTTTGTTACCTAAAAAACAAAAAATTATAAAAAACGACTTACAAATCGACTTTTGATATTGTAGTAGGCGCACGGATAACTGGGCCGATCGGACAACTGGGCCGATTTGCCTTATAGTATGTCCGGGCTATATATTCTTAATAATATCGTAGTAAACTGCAATGTTAATTGTTAAATACCACAATAAAGTCGTATTTACCTCAACATATTTATATATACCATAGTAAATGATGGTATATTTGCAAAACAATATTAAATACTTGTAATATATAATAGTTCTACATAATTTTGGTAACATATTACTATGTAAGTGACTTTTAAAGTAAAGCCATGATTTTACTACATGTATATACCATGATAAGTCATGGTATCTTGGCAAAAGTTGACTAAATTAAACGTGGCGGAGGCTTTATGGAATACGGCGGATAAGGTAAGGTATGGTACAGTTTTGTATGGCATTGTAAGGTATGGTATGGTAGATAGTATAGAGCATGGCATAGTATGTTATGGTATGATAAGATATGGTATTGTATGGTATGGTATAATATGATATGGAAGATATGGCGTCGTATTGTATGGTAAAGTATGGCATTTTATAATATGTTAGGGTATTGTAGGGTTTGGTATGGTAGATAGGATAGGATATTGCACAGGACTTTGTATGGTATATTATGTAAGATGGGTAGGATAAAAGGGGCAAGGGTAAAGTTGGGTACTGCTAAAAAGTTTAGAGGTAAGGTCGGGTAGAGGCCCTAAAGCCTACGCCGACCCTCCGCCGAATACCCTGAAGCCTCCGCCGACTCTCCGCCGAATACCCTGAAGCCTCCGCCGACTCTCCACCGAATACCCTGAAGCCTCCGCCGACTCTCCGCCGAATCCCCTGAAGCCTCCGCCGACTCTCCGCCGAATCCCCTGAAGCCTCCGCCGACCCTCCGCCGAATCCCCTAAAGCCTCCGCCACATTTAATTTAGTCAACTTTTGCCAAGATAGCATGACTTACCATGGTATATACATGTAGTAAAATCATGGCTTTACTTTAAAAGTCACTTACATAGTAATATGTTACCAAAATTATGTAGAACTATTATATATTACAAGTATTTAATATTGTTTTGCAAATATACCAACATTTACTATGGTATATATAAATATGTTGAGGTAAATACGACTTTACTGTGGTATTTAACACTTAACGTTGCAGTTTACTACGATATTATTAAGAATATATAGCCCGGACATACAATAAGGCAAATCGGCCCAGTTGTCCGATCGGCCCAGTTGTCCGGACGCGTTGTAGTAGATTGAATTTCCTGTTTGTCGTGATTTACAAGCTAAAAACTTCTTTAAAACTTCAGTAACATTCACAAAATCCTTCTTATAACTTTCACCAGTTATTCTTCATGTTTTCAAATACAAAACGGGCCCAATTTCTCGTATATTACCTAAAATAGCTCTAAAGCAATATCAGGATACAAAGAGTTGTTAAACCAACCAACTAACTTTCAAAACACTATGAAGGATCGTAGATGAGTAAAAATGGCCATGTTATTATCTAAAAACACAAAAAAATACTAAGAAACAACTTACCAATTGACTTCCGATCTTGTTGTAGCTTGAGAACCTTCTTTCAACGAGAACCTGTTGTCTATCGTGCTTTATGAGCTATAATTATTCCTCAAACAAGTAAAAAGATTATCAACATCTTTTTAAACTATTATTTATGCTTTTTACTTCAAAACAAACCTAAATCCTCAACTGTTACCTAAAACAGGGCTAAAACAATATCGAGATGTTAATGCGTTAGAAAAACATTCCTAAAACGTTGACAGGTCAAAGCGTAGTTAAAATAACTAATGCTTTACCTAAAACAACAAAAATATTAAAAACGACTTACCTATCGACTTTCGATATTGTTTTAGGTTCAATCTGGCAGATGTTTTCAGAATTTTATCTGGAAGCTCACTAAAACAAAATAAAACTGGGGATTTTGATGAAAAATATGAAGCTTGAGTAAATATTACTATTTTACAAAGTATAGAAGGCTTTTACATTAGAATACTAAGAGAAATAAAGAGAAGTTGACGAGAATATTATCCATGAAGGAAGTTTCGAAAAAATATTTATTTTTTGCAAAAATTTTTATTTTTTTTTGGCTTTCAAGGTTAAAATTGAGTAAAAAAACTATTTTATGGCTATTTCAAACCAAAAATTCAATATAATATTATAGTCTAATAACTTACATTGATATTTTTTCAGAAAACGCCGTCGTTCCATTCACAGCGCAGCAACGTCGAGGTGGATCACAAACTGATGTTCGTGTAAATGGCGTAAACCAAGAGGAAAACTACTACACATTCTCCGGAGGACCACCTGGTGCTACCTTCGTCCCACCAGGTCCTAATCAACCACAAGATCAACGAACACCATCTTCAGCGAGGCGTGGGCCGCGATTGGCCGCCTATCCTCCGCCATTCCCTCCGCCGCACTTTATGAAAGGGCATCCACCCCCATTCTTTGGCCCATACCCTCCACCACCACCTCATTTTATGCCAATGCCCCCACCTCCGGGCGTTCGGGGTGGTAGTATGCCACCACCGCCTCATATGCGGTTTGGTTTCGCCCCACCGCCCATGTTTCCTGGATTCTACCCGCCCCCGCCTCACTTTTTCCACGCCCAACGGCCTCAGTCGCCGGTGGCTGGTGATGGTCCAATTATCACTGAAGCCATATATGACACTTACCCTAGACGTCACTTTGAGGAGCCTATCTATGGTCCTGGCTCACATTATGGTACTCATGGTACTCATACTCCAAACCCAGCCAGCCATTACGGTATTCATACCGTACCCAACACTCCAGGTCAAAACGCGTATCGTGTGAATCAGAATCGAGGTGAACATCGTGCAGCATCGCCGAGCCAACAGTACTACGAAGGCTACTACGATACCTACAAGAGTCGGCAGAAGAAGGAGTCGGATTCTGATACCAGCGTGGACGATTCCCAATTCTGGGAAGCCTACGAAGCCGGAGCCTATAAGAAGCCGACCAAGGGTGACACATTGGGTCGAGGACGTGCTGACAAGTCACCAGCACCAAGTCGAGTACATGGTGTTCAAGCTTCTGTGGATTCTACCACGCCCCAACGAAGAAACAAAGACTTTACGCCCTCGGGTAACAGGAGAAGTCGGCCTATTAGTCCACCAGCTGATTATGAGAGGAATAGTGTGCTGATCGATGGAAATGCTCAAGTACGACAGGCCGCCGTGTTTTAAATTTTTAAATTTGAAGTTTGTCTGTCGAAATTTTAAAATTTGAAATTGCATATGTGACAAAATTTTTAAAATCAAAATTTTAAATTTAATTTTTATTATTTTTAATTAAAATTAGTATTATCCTTTATCCTATGCAGGGCAGAGCTTTTGAGTTGATTTGTGAGGATTTGGGAAGAGGGCGGGGGTAAATTTTTTTTGAGAGAGAGGGGGGGGAGGTCTAAAAAAATGTTTAAAAACGTCAATTTTCATTTATGAAATCAAACAATGCAAAGAAGGTTGTTTTTTTCTAGGGCGGGGTAAATTTTTTTTGAGGTGGGGGGGGATGTTTTTTAATTTTTTTCTTTGTAAAGCCAAAAATTATGCTCAGACCTACTCTCATGTTTACCCGCCTCTTTTTCTTTAAAAAACTTAATTTTTTGCCCAGCCTTGACATAATGATATTATATTATGCTTCATGATGATCAATGACAATATATTTCCAATGCCAGATTTTTAAACAAACCTTGTGTTACCTACTTACAATCCTATCATAGTTTACTTCAATATATTACTATAGTATTGTACTTATTAGCATTTTTTATTTATGACATTTGAATATTATACAGTAATAAAATTTTACATAATCAAAGATATGTTGACTAACATAGTATAATATATTATTCAATGACATACTAACTGACCATCGTATCTTGCCTAATGGTATACTAACTAATCATAGTATCTTATCCATTGATATACCAACCGACCACAGTATTCCATCAACTTTATTAAAACTCATGTCGAAAACATTACTTTACCATGTGGAAACAATGTATATACTGGCAAACACTAAAGGCTACAGTAATAAAATGTTCGCGAAAACTCGTATTTATATAAACCATGTACAATCATAATAATCGTACAAGTACTACTGTTATATAACACGTACTATTACTTCCATATCTTTTTAAAGTAGCTTTATATAACAGTAGTGGGTGACTCTGCCATAGGCTCATCTACAGTAACACCGCTTTGACGTGACGAACTGGTGGGAAATCGAGGAGATGCTGAAGGTTGAGATGTGGCTGATGGGGTGGTCGGTTGGTGTCTGTAATGTTTATTTATTATTATAGTATTATGGCTTATTGTAGTTGTAATAAGGTGGGTCAAGGTAAAGTAATATAGGGCAGCTTAAGATAGAGTGGAAGTACAATTGAAGCTAGGGTTAAGTTTAATACAAGGCTAGGGCCAAAGGCTAGAGTACGATGGGGCATAGATTAAAGTAGAGTAGGGTAAGATACAGTCGGGTCTAGGATACAGTAGGTCATAGAGTAGAGTAGTACAGTAATCTTAAAGTAGGGGCTGAAAAATGGCAAATATACGGTAGGACCTACAGTAAGGTACGTAAAGATACCGTACGGGCTCCAAGTAGATCAGGATATGGTAGGGTTTGGAGTACAATAAACACTAAGGTAGTGTACGGTCGGGCCTAGGATACGGTAAGAGCTAGAGTACGGTAAAGCTTATTGTACTGTAGGGCCTAGAGTAATTTAGGATTTATGGTTGACTACGGTAGGGCCTAAGCTATGGTAGTGTCTAGGGTAGTGTAGAGTAGGGTAGAGCAAGGTAGGGTAGGGCAGGGTAGGGCAGGATAGGGTAGGGTAGGGTAGGAAAAGTACTTACAGTGGATTAGTGAAAATCAGTGCTTCAGGATTCTGAACTTCAATCGACCGTTTTTTAGGTATGACTGGTTGAGGATTAGGTATACCAAACGTGTCCAACACAGCTGCACTCGTATTTCTCCGACTTCCAGAAGTATCAGCTACACGATTGTTGTTTATTTGAAGATTGGCTGAGGCTGGAAATGTCATAAAATAAATAAAAGTTCAAAACCTTTCAAAAAATGTCACTTCGCACGACTGCACCGTGCAGCCTATGTAATTCGCACTGTTGCACAGTGCAGTCATGCACTGTAACCAAGAAATTCGTTTTTTTTTGTATTTTAGCTTATTTTTTAAATAATAAAATAAAATTTTTACAAAATTTAAGTTTATTTGTTACCTAAAATAACATCTTTAAAAATTTTAAAAATTACCTTTTCGATGTTCAGCATCATTACCAATCGACCCCCGATGAATTACCCGGGCTTGGTTTTGTCGGTTTTGGGCTGCTTTTAATGCTGCTACATAGCTGGTTGATGCTGTTGAGGTCTAAATTTTAATTTTTTAGTAAAATTTAAAAATTTTTTAAAAGTAAAAAATTTTTTGAAATTTTGAGTTTTTTTTTAAATTTAAATTTTTGGTAATAAAACATATAAAAAGTCAAAAAACAATTATTAATTAAAAATAAAACTTTTCAATTTCAAAAAATTTCATTTTCTTTCATTTTCAAAGAAAACCTCACAGTGCGCGACTGCACCGTGCAGCCTATGTAATTTGCACTGTTGCACGGTGCAGTCGTGCACTGTGGGCAAAAAAATGATTTTCTTTCACCTTTAAGTAATAAAACTGATACATAACTAAATAAATATTTAAAAAATGCCGTAAAAATTCTAAAAATCAACAAAAAATAATTTTTATATTAAGAATTACCTAAAAATAAAAAAAACGTAAAAAATCATCAAAAATTATTTAAAAAAACAAAAATAAATAATTTTTTTGATTTTTTGGGCATTTTACAAGAAATTTTTAAAAATAAAGATTAAGTCGTATTTTACCTTGCTATTATGTCGACTGCTAGCCACTGATTCGGCGTCACTTTCAGTTGAGTTTACTGAAGCGTCCGACAACTTTCTAGGCCTGACCATGTTTGTCGCATTCTGTGAGGATGTTCCTGGACTAAAATTTTAAAATTCTTCATATTATCTTAAACTGCTTTGTATGCGCATCGTACTCACAAAAATATGAATGAAATTCATAATACCAACAACAAGATATAACCTTTTTGTTATATTATCATAGCCTTTAGGCTTGGGACATACGGCAGAAAATCAAAAATTAAAACGCCATGCCCTGTACAAGGGTTATTTTGCCATGCCCTGTCTTTTGCCCAAACCTGAGGCTATCACAATCACCATTTATGTTGTTATTGAACCACAATCACCAGTGTTAAAACAAATTTATTAAAAAAAAACGAAATAAATTCATAAATAACCGGACACAAAATTAGGTAATATCCTGACAATAACGTGTTCTTATGTTACTACGGTTAAAAGTATGGTATCTTGGATCATTTTTAAGGGTATTAGCAAAAAAAAACTAAAATTTGAAAAAAATTATTTTTGTGAACGGGTCCGTAAGAGTTAAATTTATGTTTTCTGCTATTTTTGATTAACATAGAACAGTAAAATACAAAAGTAAAGATCATAAACAAACTAAAATTTCATATATTTTTCTAATTTTCTAATTAGGTCCATTTATAAATAGCAAAAACGTAAATTTCTCCCCGAAATCGTGGAATCTAACTTTAAGCTTCAAGTTTTCTGCCATTTCTAATCAACATAAATGAGTAAAATTCAACACCTAAGATCATAAAGGGTCTACACTTTCATATTTTGTAAAAATTTTCTTTATCGGTCAATTTAAAAATGGCAAAAACTTAATTTTTCCTTCAGTAACCTCCAAAAATCCTCAAAAAACCAAAGATACCAAGTTCAAAACCGTAGTAAGTGCACAAAAATTAAAAAAGTCAAAATCAATGTGTACAGAAAAGAGAAATAAGTGATGGTTGTTGTTAACTTCGAAATAAGGCAAGTGTAAATTAAGATACTATCAGTTTATACAACACATGGTATAACCAAAAGAAAATCGACCCTACAACATACTGGTACTACAACAAGGTAAAATAAAATGTGAAAAAAGTTACCATTGATTAAAAAAGGGGTTTTAAATTGTATTTCAAATTAAATTTTGAAAAAAAATTTTAATTTTTCAAAATTAATAAAAAAAATTTTTTAACTTTAAAATACAATTTAAAACCAATAGGTCAAAAAACAATACAAAATTAAAAAATAATATTTATAGTTTCATAAACTTTATCATTTTTAGCATTTTTCAAAAAAAAAACTTACAGTGCAGACTGCACCGTGCAGCCTATGTAAGTTGCATTGCTGCACCGTGCAGTCATGCACTGTAACCAAAAAAATCATTTTTAAACGCAAAAAACCTGCAAAACTAAAAACCAACTAAATATTTGTTCAAAACCTATTTATACGAACCGTGGTTGTTGTCCAGGCGTCTGTAGAATCACAGCCAAATGATCGACCAGTCGGCGGAACCGTCTCACCGGTCCCGCGGTCAAAGTGAATTGGACAAAGTAGAATGGACTAGCGGTATCGGATTGGTCGGTTGATAAAATGTCGACATGTAACTTGATTCCGCGTGAGAAGCCCATCGTGGAGCCGCGACGATATTCGACTTTGAATGAGTTTTGCCCTACGACGTGATGGCTCAGTTCGTGGATCTGAAACAATCGATTTTTAGTTGAAATAGGTAACAGATTTAATAAAAATAAATTTAGCATGTCTTTAGGTACCTAAAAAGTTTAAAAATAGCATTTAAAATTGTTCACTTCATTTAAAAATGGCAAAAAAAATTAAAAATCGCGAATTCTGTGCAAAATACCCCTATATTATCCATGTTTTGTAACGTTTCGTGCCATTTTTAGCGCTAACGTTAACAAATTTTGACACAAAAAATCACCAAGATCCTGATAAACTTAAAAAATATTATTAAGACAACCATCCTCAATTTAAAAATGGCAAAAACGCTCAAAATTCCTTAATTTTCTACCAAAAAACCCCTATTTTCCTCAAAAACCCCAAACATTTCAAATTTATGGCCATTTTAAATTGACATAACCTAAAAATCAAAATATAAATGAAAAGCACTTACTGTTAAAAATGCCCTGATAAGTTCTGCCTTGATTGCGTTGAGCGTTTTGCCTTCAACTGGCACACAATGTACATCCTCTCGCTCGTTCCCAACATTCGATGTTAATGAGCCGAACCAAGACTTTTTGACCAGACTAAAAATATATTTTGGTTTAAATTTGTTAGACAAGTATTAAAATGTCATTTTTATGCAAAAAAAGTAAATTTTTCAAAAAAAAATTTTTTTAAATTTCGAAATTTTTTTAAAAATATTAAAAATACGTCGTAAAATAAAGGTAAAAAAATCAAAAATCGTTTAAAAAATATAAAAATTTTTTTAATTATTCAAAAAACTTGTCATTTATTTCATTTTTAAAAACAAGCCTTACAGTGCATGACTGCACCGTGCAGCTTATGTAATTTGCACGGTTGCACCGTGCAGTCTGCACTGTGAGCAAAAAATCATTTTCTACGAGTATTGAATGCCAAAAATAATGAAAAACAAAATAAATATTTTTGAAAGGTAAGGAAAATTTCAAAACACATCAAAAATTTTCGATAAATTAAAAAAAAATAAAAATTAAAAATTTTTTTTAAATTTCAAAAATTCACCAAAAATTCAAAAAGAAATCAGAAATCCCCTTAAAATTATCAAAAACCCCAAAAATTTCAAAAACCAGTCAAAACAACAAGAACTTTAAAATCTTACTCATTAGTCTCGACGAAATTGCTATCTTCACTGTCACTCTCCACCCCGCTGCCATTACCACTGTTAGAGCTCATCTTACGTCGATGAAACCGTGGAGTACCCAAGAATGAGTTCTTGATAGTATTCAACTTCGATCTCCAAGGTATCGAAGTGATATTGGTGGCTGATCCCCCTCCAGATGCTAGTGAGTTCGAGGATGACGCATTTGAGTTGGGGTTGGTGACATACGAGCCCATATGAGCTTGATCTGGATTCTGAGGAATCAGAGAAGCGCGAGATGAAGAGGATGGGGTTTGGGCGGCTACTGCTGAGTTGTGGGTACCTAAAAGAACACATTAGTAGGCTAAGGATACGGTAAGGCCAGGGGTACGGTAGGGCCTAGAGTACGGTAGGGCCTAGAGTATGGTAAGGCCTAGGGTCTAGTAGAGCCTAAGGTACGGTAGGGCCTAGGGTACAGCAGGGTCTAGAGTACGGTAGGGCCTAAGGTGCGGTGAAACAGTAAGACAAAGTAAACGTACCTGTTTGACTTCCAGCACTATCCTTCCTCCTCGATCGATGCCCAGGCGAAGCCGATGCAATTACTGTAGGATCGACCGGTTGAGTATAATAATGGAAGTTCTGTGGCGCCCGGGAAGCACCATTCGACCGGTCGCTAACCGACCCATTGTTCACCGTAGTCTGTGGATACCCACTTAGCACCGAGTTGATCATCGACGAAGCTGACGTGGTCGAGTTCGATGGTGAAGCTGCGGCTGATATTGATGTAGAATTGGCTTGTCGTGCTGTAGCTATCAGGTTGCTGGTGTTTGCGGCGTAGAAGGATCGACCAAGTCTGGGTGTGTTGGTGGGTGAACCGGTCAGGGAGGAGTGGCGTTGACGACCGTGACGACTGAAATGTGACAAAGTTAATAAAGTTTGTCGCTTATTACAACAAAATTGAAGGCTTTAAAGATGTTACAGTATCTTACCCATAAGTTCTCCTAGGATTGATAGGTGAACCTTCACTGATGCCTCCAGTAGGACATCGTGGTCTAGAAGTGTCGGTCCTCTTCCGTGGTGGATCAATCGATCTGTTACTGTCTCTTAACACGACTTCAGTCTCGTCCTCTTGAGCTGGTCGACGGCGTTTCCGGTCCAAAAGTAGGTAGTACACCATCTTTTCAGTATTGTGCTTGTTTGACAACAGCTCGGTCACCAGCTTCTCTTTGTCTTTGAAACAGCCCAGGTTGTTCATGTGGCTGGAAATGGCATTTTTGGTTAATGAAAAAAGAGCTTTGTGATTGTAGAGAATATTGTATGAGTTTTGAGGGTTGGCGAGCTGAGAGTGACAGGTTATACGATGTATGTCATTTTAAGCTTTGTAAAGAAAGTTCTTGCCATTTTTCATTCTGTAAAGAAAGTGTTTGCCATTTCTTCATAAAAAGCCAGTTTGGGCATTGCAGCCTGCATGTGACAAGTTATACGATGAATACCGTTTTACCTCAACCCATGCAAAGTTCTTGCCATTTTCCGTTTTTTAACGAAAGTTCTTGCCATTTTATAGTTTGTAACGAAAGTTCTTGCCATTTTAAGCCATAAATTCCAAAATTAATCCATTTTATATTCTGTAAAGAAAGTTCTTGCCATTTTGTCATAAAAAGCCAAGTTTTGTGTTTTGCAACCTGCGTGTGACAAGTTATACGATGAACCAAATCCTATGATTTATAAACAAAATTTTTGCCATTTTATGTTTTGTAAAGAAAATTCTTGCCAAATTATGTTCTGTAAAGAAAGTTCTTGCCATTTTATATTTTGTAAAGAAAGTTCTTGCCATTTTATGCTTTGTAAAGAAAGTTCTTGCCATGTTATGCTTTGTAAAGAAAGTTCTTGCCATTTCAAGCTCAAAAACCAGAATTCATTCCATTTCTTATTCTGTAAACAAAGTTCTTACCGAAAAACGTCGGGATCGATGTGCTCTTCTCCAGGTATAACATGAGTTTGTACCACTTGTGCCATGGGTAGTTCCAACTCTGGTTCACTCCTCGTGTTCCCAACCACCCAGGGATGCTTAAACACTTCTGCCAAACTCATTCGTCGATTCGGGTCCACCTCGATCATGCCCCTCAATAAGGATTGACAGTCCGGAGGTACGAACTGGGGAATATGAAAAACGCCTTTCTTCACTTTTTCCAACAAATTCCTCAAATTGTCATCGTCGAAGGGTAGGGCACCGACTAGTAAAGCGTAGAGAATGACACCACACGACCAGACGTCTGCCTTTCGACCGTCGTACTTTTCACCCTGGAAAAGAGGTGATGATAAGGTTTAAAACTGAAATTTTAAAGCTTTGTGACAAAGGTAAACCGACAAAAGTGTAAAAATATGAAATGCAGTCCTAGTCTGACCCAGAAGTCATAAAAAACCAAAACTTATACTTGATATCAACAAGAAATGACCTAAATGGCCATAATAATAAAAAATGAAATTTAAAAATTTTGTGACAAAGTTAAATCGACCAAAGTAAAAAACTATAAAATACAGACCTATCAAAGCCCAAGAATCATCAAAACCTCTGTTTAAACTTAAAATAGCATTTAAAACCATTTTTATTACAGTGCGCAACTGCACAGTGCAAAGTTTAAAAAATTAAAATTTTTAAAAAACCTTGCCAAAGTCAAACTGCCGAAACTATAAAAATATAAAATAAGCCCTAGCCAAATACAAAAAATTAGAAAAAATGTTAACTTAACCCTTAGTTCAACAAGAAATGGCATATGACTTTTTTTGCCCACAGTGAATGACTGCACGGTGCAACAGTCCAAATTACATAGGCTGCACGGTGCAGTCTTGCACTGTAAGGTTATTTTATAAAAAAATTTAAAAAAATGATAAGATTTAAAAACTCAAAGCAATTATAATACATTAAAATTTTTCATCTTTTATTTCTATAATATTAACATATATTTTGTCATGAAATGTATTGTCATGACTTACCCTAATGACCTCAGGACAAGCATAATGTGGTGATCCGCAACTCGTTTCCAGCATTGATCCTTCGACTTGGAGTGACGCCATGCCGAAATCAGCAACTTTGATGTTGTTCCTTTCGTCTAGTAGCAAATTTTCTGGTTTTAGGTCTCTGTGGCTAAAATAATATTACTTTAGGTAACAAAACTTGATTTTTTGAGTATTTTAGGTAACAAAATGAACTTTTTTTGGTATTTTAGGTAACAAATTTGACTTTTTCAGTATTTTAGGTAACAACATTTACTTTTTTGCTATTTTAGACAATAAAAACCTATTTTTTAAATATTTTAGGTAACAAAAATCCCTCAAAAAAAATTTTTTTTTCAAAAAAAAACCTAAAAAATTAAAAATCTTACCAAATGTTATGAGCATGGCAAAAGTCCAGCGCCGAAATGATTTGGCGAAAGAACTTTCTGGCCTCCTTCGACGTTAACCTGCCCTTACGCACGAGGTAATCAAATAGCTCACCACCGGACACATGTTCAAGTAGAAGATACCTAAAACAACATTTTTAGTACAAAAAACCATGCTTTTTACGATGACAGTACTTGTTTTTCAAAAAATGATAATAAGTCAACAAAAAATGGCATTAAAGACTAAAAATTGTCTGCACAGTGCAAAGTTTTTAAAGATTGCACCGTGCAAAAATAAAAATTTTAAAAAAATTAAAAAAAGTAAAAGTTTATCAAAAATGACACTTACAGGTATTTCTTGTTTTCATATACATCATATAAGTGAAGGACATATGGATGTTCTATCAGTTTCATTATGGCAATTTCTCGTTCGACCTGAAAGTAATGCCATTTTTAAATCACACAACTGTTAAATTTCATTTTTTAGGTTTAAAATCTATTGAAATTTAATTTGTAAGTCAACATAGATCATTCTAACATTAGAAAATGAAATCCAGTTGCTCTTAATTATCAGGATTTTCGTTTAGGAACCCAAAGTCTTTGTAAAAAATAGTAAAGATTATCATATAAAAAAACGTTGTAAACGCAACCGTATTTAAAAAAAATTATATACAAAAATTATAAAGCTGCGACGTTATGCCAAAGAAATTTTTGATTTTCAGGGTTTTCGTTGTGGAACCCAAAGAGTTTGTAGAAATAGTTAAGATGGTCATATAAAATGGCAAAGCTGCTGTCAACGTATTTTACGATGAACATAAAAACAAAATGTCGACTTGCAACGTTATGCCAAGAAAGTTATAGAATTTAAAGTTTTCGTGTCGGTACCTAACAAAATTTTTTTTAAATAAGTGAACTCAAAAATTTAGTAAAAAAATCAAAATTAAATTCCAAAAACTATCAAATTTGATAGTTTATAAAACTGACCTTTTGAAGTACCGATTCGTTGAGTTTTTCTTTGTTCACAATCTTAACGGCCACTTTGCGGCCGGAAATACAGTGCACTCCCGATTTGACCAAACCTAAAATATTTATTTTTAAAAAATTTGTATTTTAATTTTTGAAGTTTTTTAAAAAATTTCATTTTATGCGTATTTTACTTTATTTTTTTCATATTTACTTGATTTCGCCCAAAAATCAATAAATGTTCAATTCTACAAGCTGCGGGTGACAAGTTATACGATGGATGTTACTTTATAATTTTATAACTTCATTTTGTGTTTTCTATATAAAGTTTTTGCCATTTTATGTTTTGTAAAGAAAGTTCTTGCCATTTTTTCATGAAAAAACATAATTTTTTGTTTTGCAGCCTGCCCGTGACAACTTATACGACGGTTACCTCATAAAGGCATTTTATGTTTTGTAAAAAAAGTTCTTGTCATTTCATGTTTTGTAAAGAAAGTTATTGCTATTTTTCATAAAAACCAACGTTTTTTGTTCTGCAGCTTGCAGATGACAAGTTATACAATGAATAACATTTTGAAGTGTGGAAAGAAAGTTCTTGCCATTTTAAGATTTGTAAAGAAAGCTCTCGCCATTTTACGTTTTGTAAAGAAAGTTCTTGCAATTTTGCTTCCAAGCTTATTGAAGCCAAAAGTCATTGGTCGTTTGACCAAAATAACCACTCATCTCGCCATTCTCGATCAGATGGGTCGATAAATCAAGATGCGTGAGAGAACGGTTATTTTTGGGCGACCGGAAGGCAATTCATGTCAGGGTTACACAGCACAAAAACTAACTTTTTGTTTTGTATTTTAGGTATAAATTGAGTTATTTATGGGGTTTTTAATTGGCAATTGTTAGTGTTTGGTGTTCTATATTAGCTATCAATGTTCTTTCTTTTAAATTGAATTTTTGAGCTAAGAACGCCAAGAATTTTATTTACAAGCCATAGAATGGCAAAAACTTTCTTTACAAAACATAAAATAGCAAGAACTTTCTTTCCAGGGCTTAAAATGCAATTCGTTGTATAACATGCCACCCGCAGGCTGCAGAACAGCGATTTCGGATTTTTCATAAAGTAAAATGACAAGAACTTTCTTTACAAAACATAAAATAACAAGAACTTTATTTCCAGAGCTTAAAATACGAATCATCGTATATTATGTCATCCGTAGGCTGCAAAACGGTAAATTTTGTAATTTTGTGAAAAAAAGCACAAAATAACAAAAACTTTCTTTACAAGACTTAAAATTGCAAAAACTTCCTTTCCGGCGCTCAAAATGCAACTCGTCGTATAACTTGTCATCCGCAGGCTGCAGAAGACTGATCTTCGCAATTTAAAAAAGAAATGGCAAGAACTTTTTTACAGACCATGAAATGGCAAAAACTTTCTTTACAAAACGTAAAATGGCAAGAACTTTCTTTACAGACCATAAAATGACAAGGACTTTCTTTACAAATCATCATGATGACGAATCTTCTCAACTTTTCGTTTCTCATCGCAATTTTATCGACGAAATGTGTGGGGTCATTCCATTGACGAAGAGAGCGATCGAATTCCTCTCTTCAATTTTTTATTTTTTTTTCTTTTTCCGGCGATTTGCAATCGAAAAAGACCTTTAATGGTTCCGAAAGTGTGTTAGCATCATTATGATGATCTGGCTTGTGTTCGCTGAATTACACAGCTATTTAAGGCGGTGGTAAAGAATTGAAGATGATGTAAATTTTGGTTTTGTTTAGGCATGGGTTTGGGTGGCGGATGGGAAATGGGACTTTGAATTTTTGTAAGATTGATGCGTGGTAGAGAGGCGGGGATGTGTGGTGGGGGTGGGGTAAAGAAGGGGGAGGGAGGTAAGGTAGGGCAAGGTAGGGTAAAACAGATAGTGTAGGGTAGAGTAGGTCCGAAAAATTGGGCGTGGTAAACTTTTTTTTCTACTTTTTGAAGGAATAGATAGATATGCCTAACAAAGGTCAAGTAAACCCCCCACCTTTACAATTTATTTACTATAGAGCATATATTGTAATATGTTGTAAAGTGGGGGTGGCCATACAAAAAAAAAATAAAATATTTTAGTATAAAAGGTAAATTAGAAATGCTTCAAAAATTCAGTTTTACACACATTTGGCTGGGGTAAAAACATTTTTGGGTTAGGGGTAGGTTCATAAGTTTTTTTTGGGAGAAAAGGTAGGTGTTTAAAGGTTTTTGCCATTTTTTTTTAATTTGTAAAGAAAGTTTGCGTTGTTTTTTAAAAAAATATCAAAATTTTGTACTTTGCGGCCTGCGGGCGACAAGTTATACGATAAATGCAATTCTATGTTTTGTAAAGAAAGTTTTTGCCGTTTTGTGCTTTGTAAAGAAAATTCCTGCCATTTTATGTTTTGTATAGAAAGTTCTTGTCATTTTATGTTATGTAAAGAAAGTTCTTGCTATTTTACTTTTTGTAAAAGAAGTTCTTGCCATTTTATGTTATGTAAAGAAAGTTCTTGCTATTTTACCTTTTGTAAAAGAAGTTCTTGCCATTTTATGTTTTGTAAAGAAAGTCCTTGCTATTTTACTTTTTGTAAAGAAAGTTCTTGCAATTTTATGTTCTGTAAAAAAAGTTCTTGTCATTTACACTCAAATCAGCCCTACTGTTAAAACGACCTTTTCTTAGATGTACCTCTTTCACAAATCACTAAAAATCGCAAAATTACAAAACTTTCGATTTCATGTTGAAAATGTTTTGTTGCTCATCGATGCTTGAACCCGCTCATCGCAGATTTCATCAGCCCATCGATGAAATTGCATCGACTGTCAGAGCGAGTAAACGTGAGAAAAGGTCGATTTTAATAATGGCAGCGCGTGGTCGGTGACTTCATTCACCCATGGTTACATCACTTTTGAGAATCTTAAGAAATCATTTTTGTGAAGCGACTGCGGAGGGGGGGTTGTTGTTAATGACAGCCGGTTGGGTGATTTGCTGATGGTTTTTGTTATTTTATTAGTGGTGGGGGGGAGGGGGTGCCATTTTAAGGTTTGTAAAGAAATTTCTTGCCATTTGTTCATGAAATCAAAAAATTTGGTTTCTGCAACCTGCGAGCGACAAGTTATACGGTAAATAAAATTATTAGTTTTGTATAGAAAGCTCTTTCTGCAGTGGAACTCCTGTATAACGAACTCCTCCATAACGAAACTCCCGTATAACGAACAACTTTTGAATCCCCGTCTACCATTACACAGTGCATTTAAAACTCCTGTATAACGAAACTCCTTTATAACGAACAAATTCCCAATTTCCGAGCGATTCGTTATACAGGAGTTCCACTGTATTTCAAGTTTTCTTAAGAAAGTTTTTGCCATTTTATGTTTTGTAAAGGAAGTTCTTGTCATTTTTTCTTAGTTTTCAGAAGCCCGTGATTCTAAAGGTCAAAACATTCGATAAATAAGAAAAAATGAAATTTAAAATGTAATTAATGGTTAGAAAGTAATAAAACGTTTAGGAATTTTCCACTACGAGAAGGACAAAAATAAAAAACTAAATACAGTAGAACTCCTGTATAACAACAGTACTCTCTAAAGCGTAATCTCTGTATCACTAGCTTTGAGTCCCCGCTTACGATACACAGTGCATTTAAAACCACTGTATGACGAAAACTTTAGCTTTGAAATTTAAGCCTAAAGCCTTAAAACTGAAATTGTAAGCCTAGGAGTTCAAACCTGAAAGGAAGCCTAAGCCTAAAAATTAAAGGCTTAAACATGAAAGACTAAGCCTTAAAATTAAAGGCTTAAACTTAAAAGCTTAAGCTTAGAAAAATTAGCCTAAAAAACTACACTTAGAAGCCTATATTTATTACAACTCTAAGAAGCCTACTCAGAGTTTGAGACCGAAGATTACAAAGCCAAAGCCTTAGATGTCCTAGCCAGAGCCCTAGCTTAAGTCCTAGCATAAGCCCAAATATAAGCTCTAGCATAAGCATAAGTATAAGCGCTAGCCTTAGCTTCAGCGTTAATCCTATCTCTAAGCTTAGCCTAAGCTTTACTAAACCTCAATTCACCAAGCCTAGACTAAAACCACCTTCTACGCCCAAAACCATATAAAAAATTACTTTTTGTGTCATAGGCTACCAAACCCATTACAACGCCTTTAAAGGACAGTCAAACTTTTAAAAGATGTAAACCAGTTCCACTGTAACTACCATATGATTCCTTTGACTATAATTATGACAAATGACCTTATTTACTCAACTGTTTTTGTTTCAAACCAAACAATATTATTCAAAAGGGCTATATAAAGCAGTGGTTTACTATGATATTACTGGTGTATGGGTGGTTATTATTCCGGTTTTTTGGTGGGTGAGGGGGGGGAGGGTTTTTTGTGGGAGGGGGGGGAGGATGTAGGCTTTTTGTAGTAGGAAGAGGGTAAGGAAATTTAATATTTTTTTGGTAGAAGGGGGGGGATGGAGTGAGGTAATTCGTTGTAGGGGCGGGGGTGGGTAAGGGCATTTTTTGTGGTGGTGGGGTGGAGGGAAGGTAATATTTTTATGATTTTTGGGCATTGTAAAGAACGTTTTTGCGTTTTCATCCTGAATTAACAAAATTAGGTGTTCTGCAGCCTGCCGGTGACAAGTTATACGATAAAGCCCATTTTACGTTTTTTAAAGAAAGTTCTTGACGTTTTAAGTTTTGTAAAGAAAGTTCTTGCAATTTTATGTTTTTTAAAGAAAGTTCTTGCCATTATAAGCCTTGTAAAGAAATTTCTTGCCATTTGATGTTTTGTAAAGAAAGTTCTTGCCATTTTAAATTCAAAACCCCAAAATCTACCCCTTATCAACCCCTCAACCTACCCGTTTGTCCCTTGCCAAGCGTCTTCTCCAACTTGTACGGCCCGCAATACTGCACCTGATGTGAAGCGAAGTTGGGCTGACCGGCCAGCCGGCTGGACGGTGTGCCATTGTTGTCGGTGGTGGTTCTGGCGGCCCGACCATTCGCCGCGCTCATTCTTGCGTCCAGTTCCACCTTGAACTCGGCGAGTTTCGCGTGCACTTCATCTGAAAAAAAGCGAAATTTGTGAAAAAGTCCGGATTTTAAAAAATTTGGAAAATTTGAAATTTGAATTTTTTTTTAAATTTGAAAAGACGTTAGAGTTGCAATGCTAGTTAATATTAAATTGTCATACACCAGTGGTAAATGGCTAGTATTTGAATGGGATAAAGAGTAGGTAAGAGGGAAGAATGAGGATACATCAAAAAAATTTCAAAAGGGGGGAGGTTGACCAGAATGAAAGAGGAGTGCTTAGGGAAAGGTTAAAATGTTCTATTTGAACTATTTCGTTTGTTTGTAAAGAAAATTCTTGACATTTTAATCGTAAAAACGCGAATATTATGCTTCACAGCCTGCCGGTGACAAGTTATACGATGAAAGCCATTTTACCTTATGTAAAGAAAGTTTTTGCCACTTTGTGTTCTGTAAAGAAAGTTCTTGCCATTTTATGTTCTGTAAAGAAAGTTCTTGCCATTTTATGTGTTGTAAAGAAAGTTCTTGCCATTTTATGTTCTGTAAAGAAATTTCTTGCAATTTTGTGTGTTGTAAAGAAAGTTTTTGCCATTTAATTTTTTTTAAAGAAAGTTCTTGTCATTTTTATCGTAAAAGCGCTAAATATTATGGTGCGCAGCCTGCGGATGACAAGTTGTACGATGAAAGCCATTTTGTATTATGTAAAGAAATTTCTTGCCATTTTATGTTTTGTAAAGAAAGTTCTTGCCATTTTATGTTTTGTAAAGAAAGTTATTGCCATTTTATGTGTTGTAAACAAAGTCATTGCCATTTTATGTTTTGTAAAGAAAATTCTTGCCCTTTCTCCATTTCAAAAGTTAATTTTTTAAAATTACGTCCCCATTACCACAATATGCGCTATTGTTGACGTATTTATGGGCTCTGTAAAATTCCCACATAAAAAAAGGGAAATTTGGCACTATTTGAATAAGTATATATTTTACGATTCGAAACTCCCGGGAATTCCAATGGCTTTTTTTGAAGGCGCGAGGAATACACAATGACAGAAAGATGTATGGTTGACAACGACCAAAGATTACACTTTTTTGTAAAATACGCATGTAACTATGTTGGCGACGAAATAAAAACTTTTATGTTTTTATGCAAATTTATAAACTTGCAAAGAAAGTCCTTAAGGTTTCATGGTTTGTAAAGAAAGTTCTTGCAATTTAGTGTTTAGTAAAGAAAATTTTTGCCATTTTAAGATTTGTAAAGAAAGTTCTTGCCATTTTAAGATTTGTAAAGAAAGTTCTTGCAATTCTTTGTGTAGTAAAGAAAGTTCTTCCCATTCTTTCGTAAAATAACTAAATTTATTAATGTGCAGCCTGGTGACAAGTTATACGATAAATGCCGTTTTTTGTTTTGTAAAGAAAGTTCTTGCCATTTTATGTTTTTTAAACAAAGTTCTTGCCATTTTATGACTTGTAAAGAAAGTTTTTGCCGTTCCTTCATGAAATAACCAAATTTTGTATTCTGCAGCCTGCGGGTGACAAGTTGTACGATAAAAAACATTTTTTGTTTTGTAAAGAAAGTTATTGCGATTTTTTAAAACAAAAGTGGATTTGTAATAAAAAATCTACCCCAGCTTGTGTTTTTTTCAAAATGCACCCCGCTGATTTCATTTTTTTCAATTATCTACCTCCTATGTCAAATTTTTTCATTTACCGCCCCACCCAAACTCCAAAAAAAAATTTTTTTGTAAAAATGTCCCTGTCGTCCCCTCCCCCCTTTTTTATTCTCATAGTTTCTTATTTTTGTATTTACCAACCCCCCTTAATACGTATTTTTCACAGCCCGAGCCTTTGAGGAAAAACAAGAAATCGGGGCAGCCACAATTCCCCTGCGGCCCAACAAATATCCTTTAAAATCCGGCGAAAAAATGTTTCGCGGCCTAAAAACGGCGGTCCCCAAACGCTTATTCACTTGTTTTTTCATAGTAAAGGGGGGGGGAGAAGATTGCCCCACGCTATTTTATGGTTCTTCGCGGAATTCTGCCAAAAACAAACAACGCTTTAGCCGAGATTGGTGTGATACCCTAATTTATATTAATATTACAAAAATATTCAACTTTACATGATTTGAAGGAGTGGTAAATGGAAAAAAATTACATTATATTGATAAATTGGCAGAAAAAATGGCTTAAAATGAAAATTTAGGCTTAGAAATGACACCCAAGCTAATAAATTAAATTTTTACCTTATAAATGAAGGTTTAGGCTTATGAATAGAAAGTTAGGTTTAAATCAAATATTTTAGGTTTAAATGTGAACTTTTAACCTTATAAATGAAAGTGTAGGCTTATGAATAACAATATTGGCTTAAAACAAAAAATTTTAAATCAAGGATAACGCTGTAGGCTTATAAATAAAAGTTTAGGTTTAATAATGAAGCTTTAAGCTTATAAAAAGGGTTTTAGGCTTCTGAGTAAAGTCTTAGGCTTAGAGATAAACTTTTAAGTTTCTAACTAAAGTTTTAGGCTTATGAATGAACTTTTAGAACCTTAAATTAAATAGTAATCTTGTAAATGATTTTTAAGCGGCTAACTAAGCTTTTAGGCTTATAAATCAAATCTTACGCTTCTAACTATAGTCTTAGGCTTCTAAATAAACTTTTAACCTCATATATAAAATTTTAAGCATAAATAAACTTTTAGGATTTTAATGAGTATTAGGCTTATAAGTGGGCTTTTAGGGTTCTAACTAAAACTTTGGACATGTGCATGAACCGTTAGGCTTCTGACAAGGGTTCTATGTTTATAAGCTTACAAATAAACTTTTAAATTTCTAAATAAAGTTGTAGGCTTATAAATGAATTTTTAGGTAGAAAAGGTTTTTAGGCTCATAAGTAAAACTTTAAGCTTACAAGTTAAATTTTACGCTTATAGGTTAAACTTTATGTTCAATGATGAAACTATAAACCTATGAACAAGACCTTAGGCTTAGAAATGAAATTCTAGTCTTATAACTATAAATTTAAGCTATGAATTAAAACTTTAAGATTAAAAGGCTTTTTAAGCTCTGTAAGTAAGATTTTAAGCTTACAAATATAACTTTAGGCTTATAACCAAAAGTTTAGTCTTAAAAATCCTAAATTTTGAAGTTAAGCCAATTTAAGACAAAAATATTTAAATTTTTAAAATTCCATGCCTCCAAGCCTTCCATTCATTCATCTCTAAACTGAACAAGAAAAAAGCTAAACCAGACTTACCGAGCACTTCTCTGGCGGTGGACATTCATGAAATTGGAATCTCATAAAAGAGCTCAAAGTTATTCTTTCGAAACGAATCAAAGGCTTCCTAACCCAATCCACGTTCTGGGCATGACCTGTTTTGTTGGGGACCTGAAAATGAAAACATTTTTAAAAATTTAAATTTTTTTTTAAATTTAGTGATTTTGATATACACGTACAGTATAGTAAATGAAAAAGCTGAAACTTGTTAAAATACGACCACGCGACTTCAGATTGGTACCTGAATAAAGTTAAAGTAGAGTTAAAAGCCTAGCTAGTACTAAGCCTAGGACTAAGACTAAGGGGTAGGGTAGGGCAATAGAAGCGTAAGCTTAAGGGCAGGGCTAACGTAGAGCTACAGTACAGCTAGAGCTAGGGCTAAAGCAAGAGCTATATCTAGTGCGAGGGCTAGGGCTCTGGGCTACGGCTCTGGGCTAGGGCTCTCGGGATAGGGCTCTGGGACTAGGACTCTGGGCTAGGCTTCTGAGGCTAGGGCTCTGGGCTAGGACTCTGGGTTAAGGCTCTGGGCTAGGGCTCTGGACTAGGGCTCTGGGCTAGGGCTCTGGGCTAGAGCTCTGGGCTAGGGCTCTGGGCTAGGGCTCTGGGCTAGAACTCTGGGCTAGGGCTCTGGGCTAGGGCTCTGGGCTAAGGTTCTGGGGCTAAAGCTTTGGGCTAGGCATCTGGGTGTAGGGCTCTGGATCACGGCTAGGGCTAGGAATAGGAAATGTGACCCAAATTTAGGTTGGACCGAGCCTGAAAATCAAAGCCTGGCCCCAAATTTCACGTAAAGAAAAATTCCATCGAGGCCGGTCCTGAGCAAAATTTAGACCGAGCTGGGTCTAACACTCAGGCTTGGCCCGTCCTCCATGTCTAGCTAGGGCTATAAACAATTAAATCATTTCAAAACGTTGAAGGCACTTCCTTCAACCCCTCAAAAACCCCCTTTAATCACCCCCACCAATTACCCCCGCCAAAACTCCGCATATCCAGCCCAAAATAGGCATATCCCAACTGGCAAACGCAGCTTAACGATGTAATATGACACGTTTCCCTTCTTGGATTTGCAGAACATTGCGCGGCCGCCAAACTCGAGTTATGCCCTCAGGGGGCGCTTTCGCAGGCGCCGACCATTTATTATGGCGCACTGTTTCCGGCCTCACTCCTCCAAAAAAGCCCACCCCCCCCGACGGCCGTTTGGCCCCCCGAAAAGGTGGGGTTGAACTTTTAAAAAAGGAAGTAAAGGGAGGGGGGAGTAAAAACAGAATATAATACCCTACCCTACCCTAACCTACCCTACTTTTTCTTGCCATGCCCTGCCTGCTTTAAAAAACCTACCTTTAAATTTTACCCTGCCCTTGAAAGTAACCCCTCTCTCCCCGTATCAATCACCACCTTTGGCTTGTGAAAGCCTTTTCTACAAAAAACCCACGCCCCATCAAAAAAATTTAAAAAAAATCCGACCCCTTTACCCCCACACTAACTGCCATGCCCTTTGGCTTTCCCTTTTTTCGGTTTTATGGCCGAAAAAGGCGAAAAAGCCGCAAAAATTGGTGGTCCGAACCCCTCTTCCCCCTGCCCCTTCCCCTGCGGCTACATTTATTCGGAAGGGGGGTGGGGACATTCACTCGGAAGAAGGGTGGGGACATTTAGGGGAAGGAGCGCGCGTTCAACGGAAACGAAACAAAACAGTCCTCGCGGCTTCGGACTGATTTATGAGCTCGAGAATAATTAGGGGAATTAGCCACACTATACTGAGGAGAGGGGGGTAGCATAAAGTTTAGATTTGTCACACTATCTACCCTGTATGTATACAATTTTATATACAGTTTCGTAATTTTAGGCTAGAAAAAAAATAAAAAGTGAAAAAAATTTTTTGTAAAAAATTGACAGGGGGGGGGGGCACGTTAACTTTTTTTAAATTTTTTTTTCGGAACAAGGACGATTTTGAAGAATACTACATGTAGTTGTCTTAATAGTACTAGCTGCATACATAAAAATGTATTTTTTGTTTTAAAACTTCAAAAAAATTTTAAAAATTTGTAATTATACAAAATTGACAGGGGGGACCACGTTAAATTTTTTGATTTCACAAAAAATTTTTTTTTTAAAAAAAAAACAAAAATAATTTACCACACAGCCAAAAATCTAGTTTTTTATAATTTCCAACAAATTTTACTGCCTTATATTGCCCTTGTCCGCCACAAACGGCCCTGATGGACTATTAAAGGCCAAAATAAATAATATAAAGCTCATTTTCTGTCTGACATATTAACAAAAACAGCATGGTAAACAACAAATCTTCACTTTTATTCTCTTTTCAGTGGTTGAGAAAGGTCAAAAAATGTCATTTTTAATAAAATGTAGATAAAAAAATAGAAATGGCAAATGGCAATGATTTACGTGAGTATCATATAAATAGAGGTATACATGGCAATTGAACTCTAGTGTAACATGATAGGTGTAAGTTCAGAAATTTAGTATAACACAATACTTTGCACTTATATTGGTCTAGGTGATATCACCCTTATGAATACGAAAAAGGCTTTAAAGATTTTTTTTCCAAAAATCCACCCCAAAAATTTTTTTTTACATATTTTACCCCGCCCAAAATTTTTCAAGTTTACAATTTTTTTTGCCAAAAAGTGATCACTAGCCGTTTTGTTTTAATTTTTTCCCTTCCTCCACTAAATTTTTTTTTCAAAAAAGCTACCCCGAAAAATTTTTTTTATGAAATATACCCCGCCCAAAATTTTTCGTATTTATACCTTTTTTTAACAAAAAATAGGCCCTTGCAAAATTCTTTTAAAAATCTCCCCCCCCCCTCCTTCCAAAAAATAAAAAAAAATTTACCCCGCCCAACTTTTTTTAGGTTTTTGGTTTTATTGGCGAAAAATAACCGTAATCACCCCCTCTTCTCAAAAAATATTTTTTTTACATGTTACCATGCCCAAAAACTTGTTGCGCCACGCATACCAAAAGTTATTCGAATTGGCCCCAAAACGAATGTCAATAATTCTTTTGGTCGAGAAAACGGCGGAAATGATGGATGAAAGGATGAGAAAGCAAAAGTTATTAAAATTTTCGTGTTTTTATGCATTCATCAAGAGGAATTGCTTTTTACATAGTAAATTTTAACGGGCGTAAAGTGATGACAAGCCAAAAGTTGCGGTCATTTTAGAAGTTTCGGTAAGCGAAACGACAAATTTGATCAAAAATACATTTTCTTTCGCACAAACGGCAAGAACTTTCTTTACAAAACATAAAATGACAAAAACTTTCTTTAGGAGACATAAAGCTGAATTTATCGTATAACTTGTGGCCCGCAAGCTGCATATTAATAAATTTGGTTATTTTATCAAGAAATGGCAAAAACTTTGTTTACAAAACACAAAATTGCAAATACTTTCTTTACAACAATTTCCAAAAAATTGTCATTTTGAACTGATCATAAACGTTTTGCCACAAAAACTTAAGTATAGATGCTTAGAAGTACTAAAAATGTTTATAGCGGACCTCACTGATACTTAATAGTCTCTTCTTTTGAACTTTTTATTTAGTTTTTGGGTAGACTTTGCTTTTTTTTGATTGTACAAGGAGTAAAATAATGTAAACATACATAATATCTTTATAAGATAATACTGGTTTATATGTTATATTAGGGTGTACAACACTAAAACCAACTTTACCTCTGAGTTTGGTAAATATTAGGTTGTTCATATAATTCTGGGCCCCTTAACCTACAATTTTGCTTTTGGAAGGAGGGCACGGAATTATTTGAAGAAACCAATAAAAAAGAATGTATAAAGAAACCCGTATTTTACATTAAAAATTTGAAAAAAATAATAATTTTGTTACCTAAAATACAATTTTTTTTTAAAATTTTTTGAAAAAAGTGCCATTCATTTAAAAATGTATATTCAGCTCGGTTTTTTATAAAAATAATGTTTTTAAGGCACTTGTAGGACATATAGTTCAAATAAAAAATTTTTCGAAAAATTATCAAAAAAACCACAGTAGAACTCTTCTATAACGTGTATCTTTCAAATCAACTTTCAATCAATTCGTTATACAGGAGGTCCACTGTACCTAAACAACAAAAAATAGCTCAAGGCTAGACCTGTAAAGAAGCCGCTCAAAGCCAGGACCGGGCCGAGTGAGCCCTCTACCCAAGTTAGTATTATAAGCTCAAAAACACCTTACCTATGACATTTCTAAGCTGAAACTAATCGCTTTTTCTTGTTTTGAGAACAAAAATTGAGGCTAATTAAGGTACAGAATGCTTTTTGTTTGGTTTTGGGTAAATTGAAATAGAAAAAAGTTAATTAACGTGACATTTAACGCGGGTTATGTTTACATAAGACAACCGGAAGGAAGTGACACTACTGGATTTGGGTAAAATACGATCAGTCGTATTTTTAAAGTAAAAAATTAAAAATAACCAAAACTTTCTTCACAATGCATAAAATGGCAGGAACTTTCTTTAGAAAACATGAAACTGCAAGGACATTCTTTACAAAACAAAAAACGGCAAGAACTTTCTTTACAATACATTAAATCGCAACAATTTTCTTTACAATGCTTGCGAGCTCCAAAAAATCAAAAATCCACCCCAAAAAACTTAAAAAATTTTAACCCAGCTTTAAAACCCATAAAAATTTTAATTTTCAAAAAACCCCAGAAAACAAATTCCGAAAATGTTTGACATTTCCAAAAACAGGCTTCCAAATAACGCGATATGTTAATATGGCAATCCATGAAAACTCGATTTGCTGGCCCCAGTTGATGAATATGAAAAACGCGAACGAAATTAGGCAAAACTTTTTTTTCTGGAGAAATTGAATTGCCAAAAGCGGTCGAAAAAAGTGTGTAAAACGGCGCTCGAGATTCCTCAAAAAGGCGACGAGGAACACAAAGCTGGGAGTGCTATAGGGGGTCAGTAGAGGGTTCTTCTGAATACAGGGGAAGGGGGGAGGAAGAGTGCTATTAGGGAAAGTAGGGGGAAAA